TCCTCAGATGTATACAGTGAACTTTTAACATTACAGCTAAAACAGCATCTTCTCATCAAGTGGTTGGTGGGCAATTTGTGGGAAGCATTTTGCAGAGAGTTGATGTTGTGTTTTGGGTTTTTTTTTTTTTTTTTTTTTTTTTTTTTTTTTTTTAAATGCTGTCTAAGTGTGTGTCTGGCACTGATAAATTTCTGTTGCAAGCTAAGGGAAAAAAAAAAGCCTTTTTTATTTCAATACAAAATTTATTGTATTTAATATGAAAATTCTCCCAAAGGATTTGGGTTAGTAGATTCACATGCAGTCTCCTCTGTTGTCCTGTTGCTTTATTACCATGCTTCTGTCCGACCTTTAGGGGAACACAGCATTCTGATTAAAGCAGCACAGCCACCATTTCAGTGCACAGACATGTAGATACAACCACAACTGACTACATGCCATCGCTAAAATAAATGCCAGTATTTGCAACAAATGGTGTTATGAGCTGTCGAAGGGCATTGTAAAGTAACTGTGGTGATGGAACTGTTGGGAATGGAGTGCAGTTAAATGGAAAGCCCCACATCTCTGGAAAAATTTGTGCAGTGGTAAAACTCTCTTTATTGTGAAAGAGATGCCTTCATATGAAGTGGCAGCATCTGCTGATGTCTCTTCAGGTTGCTTTGGCCTTTCCTTTTCAAGTGCATGTGACACTGAGCTGCTGTGGTTGACTTGAAATAAGTATACATTTGTGTTATGCTTTTGCTTTCATTTTTCCATTATTCGTAATTTATGATAGGAAGAGGTAGAGTGGTTGAGGTCATGCTGTAGTCATAAGCTCATGCTGTTTGGAGTAAATCTTATGACTTCTGTAAGGATGAATTTAAGTAGTATAACTGCTTAGAGGAGAAAATAGGTGTTAATATTAAGAAAAAAATCCAGATAAAATCGAAGGATTATACTTTTAAGAACTGTATATATTCCCCTTGCTCTGCTTTTGCTTAACTTCAGGCTATATTCTGTTAGCTCTTTCAGACTGACTGCCCCTTTCTCTTAATCAACAAAGAGTGACAGCAAACAAAAACTCTGGTTATTACTTCATTCATTGCCTTTAGATGAACGACAGGAATTACAGATCCAGAAATCACCTTTCAGCCTACTCTTTCTCATCATAATGTAAGCTGGGCCCATGTTTAGATGGGTGTGTATTCAGATAACACTAAACTGTTGAGAGAGAATTTTGTAGTACAGCCACACTTGGATGCTAAAATAAAATATTTTTTCTGGGTAGACTACACAGTCATCACTGCACAGTAAGTATCGTGAGTCAGAGTTGTAATTCTTTTGACCCAGAATAGTAATTAAAAGATGGAAAATGCATGTTATCAATATTATCAACTCTTAAATAGGCTGGAAAAATTCTATAGCATACCCTTTCTTGTATTGAAATATAATCCTGTGGTCTGTGGGCTACTAATAGTCTATGAAAAAACAGCTGGTAGAACTCTGCTGGCTCTGCTCCTTGCTTTCAGCCTCTAAACTGCAATATAAAACACTGCATCAAGCATACCCCTAATATTTTTTCATTGAGGCAAAATCAGTAGTTGCCACAGACATTTTTTTTTTTCCAATTATCAGTGGAACTAAAGGTGATTCATGTGACTCTGAACAGGAAGGGAGGAGAGTTATGACGTAAACTGTCTTCTAAGAGCCGCATGACTTGGTGAAAAAGCTTACAAATCACCAGTCCCTACACTGCCAGATTTCTGTTTTCAACTTCTTCCCCCTTCCCAGCCCAACAGGAGATCCCATGGCACTAGGGATAAATTACTGTGTTACCATTTGCTGATGAACTTGTAAAGGCAATCTTCTTTATTTGAGGATCAGCTGTGTTGAAGAGATTCCTAGAGCTGAAATTTGGCATCTTAAGATAGTAATATTTCATATAGGCCCTTTTATGTTATTTTGCGTATGCCTGCCCTTTAAGGGGCTTACTTTTATAGGCTATCAAGATTTGGCTGGAAGATCTGCTACAGAACTTCTGAGCAAACCATCTGTACAATAATGGTTTTTGCTCTGTTCTAACCTTCTGACTTGTGTTTCCTGAGAATGAAAACACAAAAATTCCATGCTTATTCTAGTGAAGTGAGTCAACTCCTATTTAAGAAGCTGTTGAAAATTAAGCTAGCTAATTAAATTGACCAAATATTTTTTCCCTTTCTTGCCCTTCCTCTTTAATTTTTGCTGTTTTTTTTTTGTTTTGTTTTAATGTAAAAAAGTTGTTGAATTCTAAAGTCTGTTTTTTGTATCATATATTCCAGAGAAACATTTAAGCCTTTTTCTTGGAATAGAGCTATTTAATGATTGGATCACATAAGTGATGCTTAGACACTCAAAATTTTCCAGTACATACCAATGTCCAAGTTAGAGGAGAGAAAGGTTAATCTAGAAGTAGTTTTGGAAGCTAAAGATGCATAAGAAGCTGAGGCAGGTCACAGGAGGCAAAAGCCCTTTTCTTTTTTTCTTCTTTTTTTTTTTGTTTTGTTTTTGTTTTCCTCCTAGAACTGGGAAAAGCGGTTGGTTTGGAATTGTTGTTTGAGAAAGAAAACGCGTTCGTACCTGATGCAGTCTTAGGTGGACAGTTACATGTTGGCAAAATCTCCCGGGAGCCTAAGGCAGGTGCTTCAGAAGATTGCTTTGCAGCTGCCACAGACAAAGTATGTAGGCATACACCCGTGAGACTTTCTCTGCAGCACTTTGTGACTGTTGCAACCGCCTTTCCTGAGCATATCTCTCCTTCTACTTCACTGCCATGCCTTGTCATGATTTTTTTTTATATGATCTATGCCATTTCTCTAATTCTTTCATTGGAAAGAATAGAGGTAACGTATTTTAACTTAGATGTTGTGGAGCTCAGTTGGTGATGTTTAGTATTTAAAGCTACGTCATCTGAAATAATATCTTTGTCTCCGTAATAAGTCTTAGTGATTTTGCCTTTTGGTTATGTGGTTGAGTGACCATAGTGTTTACTGTTTAAATGAGGCCTTAAACTAATTCAAGTAGTCCTAGGACTCGAGTGCTTTGGCTCTTGTATTCAGTCAGTCCTAGCTGACACGTGTGACGTCTAAGCATAGTTGCTAAGTTTCCTCTTTCACAACTGCAGAATGAACTCCAACCATCCACAGATGGCCTTGCATCATAGTGCAGTGTTTTATCTTGTCTTTATGTGCGCCATGAAGTTTTCCCAAGTCCTAAACAACTGCTGCATGTCAATCAACCACTTTCATTTAGCAGTCTATTTTCTGCTTACTGTACTTCCGTGTCCTTACTTAAGTATTATCTGACTTGTAGGAAAGGCTGCTATTTTCCTTCTGCCCACATGGGTGTGATTCACTAGCTTTTTCAGGGGTATTGAATGTTGCTCTTCCAACAGAGGATGCTATACAGTCATGTTGAGAAACAGACATCATTAGGGGGCTGTATGTTTTGTAAACACGAGTGTAGTAAAATGTTTAATTTGTGATCGGGTTTTGAATTATTTTTTTCTTAATTACTGATCATTTAAAATGTTGAACCCTGTTCTATATTTCATGACAGACTGGTCATGTAAAAATGTGTTGACATTAATTAAACTCATTTTATCTGCTTAATCGTAATAATAAGATTTGTGACCCAAGGGATCACGGGCTTATTTCTTAAAACCAGAATAGTAAATAGCAAGTGACAGCAGCAGAAAGGATGCAAAATCTATCTGATGAGGCTGTCTTCGTCACTAGCTTTTGTTTATAGCAGAGTCCTCCCCTGTTTAGAAAAGTGCTGTTGTTCCCTAAATACCTGATGTGTGTTCTGCATGCAGCAAAGTCTTCCTGCACTTTAGGCACGTGAGTCGGAGGTGCGCTGGAGGAGCCCTGCAGGCTCTCCCTGGGCAAATGCCCCTGATGGTGAGGAATGGAGTTTCAAAGCTAATGGCAGCCTGACTGCCAAGACTAAAGATTGCAGATTCTAAAAGACCCTCTTTGCTCTGTAAGTAGAGCAGCAGCCCAGGCTGAAATCCTGGCAGCGTGAGTGAGGTTGCATAGCTGAGCTCAGAGGAATGTGTAGGCAAGCATACAGAAAGGAATCTTTAATTATGGGGATTCCTTATTTTCATTATAGTACTGCCACAGTTAAGAAGGAAAGCTTTTTGTAAGGCCTTCTGATCTGACTGACCTGCCTGATACAAAAGGTTGAAGTTAAACTGAGGTAATGCATCTTTATATCTTTAATATATCAGTGCCTCACATCTTGACTCTTAGATATGCCACGTATAAATATAATTTAGCACTTTACAGTTGAAGTGTGTGTCTTGGCTTTTGGTTGGAAAAGTCCTTGAGTAGCATTCATTAGTGCCGTGTTTATTTTCATCATTTGTTTTACAGTGGGGGCTGTAGACATCAGTAGAAAGCAAGAAGCCATAAAAAGGCAGAAATTGGCAGAGGGGGAAAGGATTATAACTTGGGTTGGTGGTGGTGTAAAAGAAGCCGCTATCCTGATGTGCAGTCTTCTGCAAATGGGTGTAATTGTGGGGAATTTGAAATTGGATTCTTATGACAGCTAAAAAGCCAATCCAAGTGTTTTTTTCACAGTCCCTTTATTGTCCCTTGCAATAAAGCTGGCAACTGAACTACTAAGGGTTCATGTTACAATCAGATGTCAAAATGTTTCAGCATGCAGAATGAACCAGATGGTTTCGATGCTGTTTTAAACTTACTTCTCTGTAAACATGTAGTTTTGTAGTTTTTTTTTTTAATTCTGTAATATTAAAATCTATGAGATATAGAGCTGGTAGAAAGAGAAGCAGGCACTAGTCTAGTAGGTCTTGCTATTCAGAATCACTAATCCATGACACATTCTTTTTGGATTTGTAGAGACTTTTCTTTTGCTTTGCAGTATAGCATCTACTCAATAGGTATTTTTTTTATTAACTATTGCATGAAATTTTAATATTAATTGTCAAATTTCTTACAGCATGTTTTTTTTTCCCCTAGTCACAGGTGAATCTTCATTCTTCTATGAATAATGAAACCTATCAAGACAGATTGGCACGATTAGAAGGAGATAAAGAGTCACTCATACTGCAGGTATGTGTAAAGGGAACACTTCTGCATGGTTGATATCCAGTGATAAAAGCTAAGTGTTAAGAGTTTCCATGGAACAAATGGTAGCTGTCCAGAAAATGCAACTTCAAGAGTAACAGCAAATATTCAATCATCAGTTAACCTATAATTATTTCTGTAAGTTATCTGTGTGATTTCATGGTGGGGCGTTTGGGAAGAAGAGAGGTGGGTTGGGGAAGTAAGAAATAAAAGGAAGAAAAATAACTTAGGGGAAACCCCAATGAAACAATGTTATGAAGTCCCCAGACAAGAGTGTTGTGGCAGTGGTTTTCGTTCTACATTTACCGTGTTGTGCCAGTTGATATTCTAGGTCCTGCATGAACTAAAAAACTGGAGAACAAGGTCGAGATAGTTGAATCCTTTTTATGCTGTCATGTTCCCAGAACCATATCTTCCTTCTTACTTACTTTCTTCTCCATTAGTGGCATTAAATTGACATTGGTAAATGACTGTCACTTTGAGTTAATCAGAGCTCAGAGGCCTCTGCCTCTCTGTATTTTAGTTGTGCTATGTTTTTTCAGGATGTGTATGACACAAGATGAGAAACTATGCAGCTTCTTGAGGTACTGAATGCAAAAGCAAGATGGTGAAGCCAGTATAGTTTCGTATAGGTCGTTTGGTCATTACTGAGGAGGATTTGCTTACTCCTAAATTTTGTGGAGTATTATCCACTAAACATGTGGAGGATTTGAGAAAATCAGGGTAGAAATTGAGGAATCTAGAAAGCTTGAGAAATTTTACAGGTGATAGAACTGAGGTTTTTCTTGCTTGTATATAGTTTAGTTAGTTTATTATAAAGCTAAAGAGAAGGTAATCTGGAAAAATAAAACTTGGCAGGAAAATGCAGGTATAGTCTCTTCCAGATTTTCTGTTTCTCAATTTATCAAACCTTTTTCAAGTAGGGCATCTGTTCCATGTAAGTGAGTTTTGTTTTTGAGGAAATTACATTTTGTGCATTCTAATTTAAACTTTAATGGTGGTTTTTTGAATATTTTCACTGTTACTAAACTGCAAATTACCTGCTTTTTAGCACTGAAACTGGGCATTCTCTAAACAGTCTTAGCCTGTCCTTCTTCCTTATAGTTACACATACTTATAGTTATATATGTTTTTATAAAACAAAACTGGGTGGGTGTTCTCCCCAGTTTCAGTAACTAGCTTCTGTAAACATGTTTTCTCCTGTATGTTCTGTTCATACTTGCATTAATTTACTGAGGTGAATTCTCACTGCTGTTGTTAAATAGGCAGTAAATTGTTTACAATACATACTCTTCAGCTTGACTGATTTTGTCATTGCTGTTCTGCTAAACAAAAAAAAAACAGGAAGAAAAAAAAACTCTTTTCTGTTTGGAATTTAAGGTTAAGGTCCTCAGAAACATCTGCATGTTACCTATCAGTGTGTAGTTTTCCTGATACAATCTGCTGTTTTTTAGCAACCGTTTCTGCGTCTGCACAGATAGGTACCTGCAGAACGCAGTCACACAAACTCACCAGGAAGGAGCTTGTGTGCCCTGCCTTGGAACAGGCCAGTCCTGCGGCTGCCTCTGCCATCCGGGACCCGTTCGGACCATGCGCCTCAGAACCTGCTGCTGCACAGTGCTTCTCGGCTCAGCCTGTGGCAGAGACTGCAGCACTTGCAGCATCCAGGATGCCCTCTCAGAGCTCAGCATCTGTATATAAACACGTATTTTCTATGATGCTTTTATCTGAGGTGTTTAAAACTTTTTTTTTTCTGTTTACTTTGTAGTTATTTTTTCAATATTCCTGCTTTTTAGAGATGCTTACAGGAAATGTAATACCTCTTGGCTGACTCTGTGGGTATTGCATTGCCGAGGCAGCATGCACGTGCCAGAACAGCGTGCGCAGAGGCTGTGTCTTGTGTGCAGCTTACTGAGCCCTTCAAGGGTCTGGCAGATGCCATCCCTAAGAGAGGGAAGTACGAGCTCAAAGTGGCTAATGTGTCCTTCGGCCTTGCTGCTGGAACATTCAGCATATGCTGCTGAGATTTTTATTAAATGCCTTTGCAGGTCATATTTAAAACTGAAAGGTTTCCTGGTAGATTATAATGCTAGTTAGAACTTAACCCTTCTGTTCCTCTGGAAGCTGCATCAGACTGAGGAAGGAAATTCAGTTTTTTTCTTACTTTCTGACCTCTCAGCATTTTTTGTGCTTTCATTTCATGATAGAAAAACAAAGAAGCTGCTAAACAGGAGACTCTGTTTGAGGAGTCCTTCCTCCCACCCCCAGATTGGGTACCTCAGGGTGCACTTCTGGCCAAGTGTAATTTCTTGAGCTTTACCAACTTTGAGTGAGACGGGACTTTTCTGACGCAAATGCTGGCTCATTCTGCCATTCCCACAGTTCTTGACTAGTATTACTTATGGTAGCCTCTCCTGGGATTTGTTGTCTCCCTTTTTTTGCTTTCATGTTTTGGCATGTAAAGGCTGGGAATTTTTTTGGACTAGAACTTTACCTCTGCTAAAACATGCCTTTTACTCATTGCATTCTTTATAACTTCAAAACGCTTTATTGATAGGTAAACTGGTTTTATGTTCTTGTAAGCACTGAGGTAATTGGTTGGTTTCTGAAAGAACAGTTTTATTGTCTTCATCTTTCATCTGTCTTGGGGAGCAAAATGCCAGCAGAACCTGAAACAGCCAGTGTGCTGCAGTACCACCTCAAGTGTTTTCAATATCCTGTGTTCTTGTTGGCTGCTTTTGAGTTGTGTAGACTTGTGCCAGAATTGACACAGGCTGCCTATGTGTAGTCTTCAAACCCTTCTAGAAATGGTCTTTTTATTTTAAAACAAAACAGGAAAAAAATGGTTGTGGGAGTTGCAGCAAAATATTTATAGGTAAGATTGAGAATTTGTTTGTCTTCATATAGAGCAAGATGTTTCAGTGCACAGAAATATGAAACCTTTGAAGACTTTAAAAGGAAAACTGCTGTTAAAATGTGCATTTGGATGTTAATTGTATACGGTAATTGAAACTTATTTACAATGAATTCGGTAGCATTCCTAGTGCTCTGTTCTCAAATTACAGGTGAGTGTCCTCACAGACCAAGTAGAAGCTCAAGGAGAGAAAATCCGCGACTTGGAAATCTGTCTTGAGGGGCATCAGTTGAAATTGAATGCTACAGAAGAAATGCTTCAACAGGTAAAAATCTGGACTGGGGGGACTCTTACAAAACCTTCTGCAATAGAGGGATTTGCATATACACTCACCTTGTCTGTATGCGTGGATGCTTTGGTAGCAGGAGGTAACAGAAAAAAAATTCTCTTTATTCATCTCTTGCTCCGTTGCACACTGTTTTTTGCAATAAATGTTTCTTTGTTTTTCTGGCTCAGAGACATTTTACTAGCTGGTTGCATAACTGTACGTGGCAAAGTGTAAATTGAAACTATTGTGGATTATTCATGTTGTGCTGACAAACTAAATTTGGACATGGTTTAGTAACTGGTTAGACCAGATAAATGTATACAATATATGTAGGAGTTACAGAATTAATAACTTTTAGTTAAATATATGTTCTAATTTCATATGGCTTTGAAGCTGAACAAGTAAGCTGAGAAGAGTTACTGTTTCAAGTGTGGTTCCGCATCCAGTTTTGCTTCATTTAGGAGCTTCCTCCCTATTTTTTGAAGGGGGGAAAAAAAAATACATGGGTAGATTTTTTGCCTTATTTCAATCAACTTCTTTTCAGACTTTGTGGCGTAATCTATTTGTACTGTTTCATGGAAAATGCTGAGGAAGTAGAATGAATAAAAAGTGAAATACCTTTACGTTTCATGTGTAACTGTAGAGCTGGCAGTTCTGTGGGTCCAAAGAACTTGCCCTGCGCTATTTTCTGCTTTTACCAAGAAAAAAATGATGCAGCATGTAGATATTGAAAATAGGTCTGCAGTTGTAAATATTCCTCAAAATGAAAGCCATAAATTTTCAGGAAATACATTGTTCTTCATGAACTTACTCGTCTTCCACCCAAATGTTGCATTATATGTTTAATGCTTTAGACTATGTGAAATGTGCAGGCATTTCTATAAAATATTCATAGTTTTACATTACAGTTATGTAAATGCATATAAGCTTTTTTGTTGTGATAAGGATCCTTATACCTAAGTATTGTAAAGTGTGGCAGTTTCCTTATGGTAAACTTGTATCCTAAACCTTTTAAAGATACAATGATTTCCTCTAAAAACATGTCGGTCTCACACACGTCTTCTGGACCAAAATACTTTGAGATGGAAAAAAAAAATGTCATATTTAAGAGAGTTTGTTTTAAAAAATGTCAACAGGCCATTTTTCAGTATGAGATCTGAAGTCAAATTCAAAGAACAATGAGTATTTGAAATCTGAAAATCTATTTCCAAACGTCAGACAGACAATCATTAAAGTAGATAGAAGTTCTATGACTTCTGCTAAAACACTTATCATTTTTCTGCCAGAAAATTTTCTGTTCTGATAGTCTTCTGAGCAAAGTGTGAATTTAAAGTCTGAGGCAGCAGGACATTGAGGCATTTGAAGAGAGATCAAAATAATGCATTTACATTGGTATTTCAGTCAAAAGGTTCGAATCTAGCCCCGTCTAGCATTAAGCATGTGTGTTAGTTGCTTACCATAGTTGAACCCAACCAATTAGCAGCTACAAACATCTATACACAATCTCTAAAGAAATCAGAAATTCTGCAAATGTGTCTTTAAAAAAAAAAAATCCCCTAAACCTAAATCTTGAGATCATTTTGGTCATTTTAATGGTAATATTTATTTGGTAGTACATGATTCTGCTGCTGCCATCACTGTGCCTATGTAGCACGCTGTCTGTAGTTAACAATAAGCTCAAATCTGTTGGTGGCTTTGTATCATAGTTTCGAGAGCTTGCATTTGAACATAATTTACACTAGTTCAGCCAAGCTTACCTGTTCATTGCTAAGTTTCTAAGTGGCTGATCTCTCAAATGCTTGCAGCATGTAGGGTAGCTTGAGCCAAATTCTAGGGCAAGCAAGATATAGGCCACAACCCATCAAAGATTTGTGTGTGTATTTCATTTTAATCCTGTGAGTTTCTCAGGGGTTTCATGTGAATGATGTACTTTCGACAGTTGAAAAAAAAGATTACTGTAGAACTAAGATATTTAAACATTATTTTCTCATTGAAATGAGTAAAAATAATGAACAGTTCTGGGCCAATTCTGGGCCAGTTCTGGGCCAGTTCTGTCTCCAATGGAGTCAAACCAATGACCTGCAGCGAGGGAGACCCGGTTGCATCTCCACTGAGAAATTTTACACTTCCTATGTCTCAGAAAGAGCCCCTATTTTATAACCTTTCATCTATTCTGAAAGTTCTTTTCTCAGTTCATCTTGTTGAAAATGATTTCCCTCTGCAGGGAGTAATGTAAGATTGGGAGAGCTGAGAATGTCCTGATAACGGGACGGTTTGGACGCTCACCTACGGTGGGTGGCCCAGCCCTCCTGGCACTTGGTGAGGCAGAGAGAGTGAGCGTGTGTCTGACCTCGCAGCTTCAGGGCACAGTTAGCTTTGCGGGGAGCTGGCTCCAGACCTCCTCATTCATCAGCTCCCAGTGACCTCTAGAAGCGCCTGTGGGCCGTAGCAGATAGGTGATAGAGTCTGGGTCTTGTCATGGAGTTTGTCCAGACAAAACTATTAGAGAGCTCTTCAGGGCAAGCAAGACAGTATTTATTTATTTTTGCAGCAAAATTATTTTTAATAAAAATAATCATCCAGCTCTAGGCTCGTATGTAAGTATTTCTGCTTTACAATGGCACTTCTTTTATCTTCTTGAGGTGCATTATAAATCTAATTTTATTTCACGATTCGGTTTGCTTGTTTACAGTATCTTTACCTCCATTGATTGTTGCCTTTGTGAACTTTGACTGCTTCTTCTAAATGAAAAAAATGAACAATGACAGTAATTGTCTTAGCTTAAAACGATCTTTAATGTATATTATAGAAAAAAGCTAATTTCAATAGAGTTAAGCATATTATCTTACTTTTGTTGGAAAGCATATGTGTGGTTTCCATATGGGTGGGTCCAGGATAAACTTGCCTTTAATTTCTGCAACTGTAAGAAAAGCTGACTTGGTTAATTTTTGTATGCACAATGCTATAATACAAACAAAAAATCCAAGCTGTGCGAAGACAATTTGAAGTTCCTTAGCGAGATAGCCGGTGGTGCCAGCGGAGTGGTGTGTAATGCTACCCTGCGGAATAGTTCTTGTTGAATCTGCTCTAGCAGAGACTTGTCCACTATGCAAGGGTGGGGTTGCTGGCTAAAATCCCTCTGGCTCCTGTTCTATGCACAGTTGTTTTGAGCCCTACTACAAAGCTATCATGCAAGTGCTTTGGGAACAGCAACTGAACATTTCCATGCCACTTTTTTTTTTTTTTTTTCTCCAGCAACTAAACCTTTCCTGTTCCAACAGGAGACAGTCTTTTTCATATGAATTACATAAAACCGAGATCCTGCATGCTACACAGTAGAATTAACTTGCAGCCTCTTCAGTGTTGTGGCAGGAGGGTTGAGCCGGTCTAGCAGCTCCCTTCTAAAAGGGGAAGCCTCTACTCTGTTTTTGCATCTTTCTCCTTCTTCTTTGTCATGTCCTTCTACCACTTGTCCTGGCTCACATGGTGTTTCCCTCCATGACTTATCAGAAAAGTAACTCCAGGTTTTAAAAAGGGCTATCTGCTTGGTTAGAGAGCTGAACCAAGAAGAGAAGCAGAGAAGCTCCAGGCCTGGGAGAGCTGGCATCAAAGTGCAGCAAGCTGTGCCTCTGGCATTGCTCTTTATGGAGCCACAGGCACCATTGGATGGCAATTTCTAGCAACTGCTTTTTCATTTGAGCAATGTGCAAGTGTAGGAGAGAACTATAAGGCAAAAGCAAATTCTGATTTATCTGTAGCCCAAACTCTGCCCCATGACAGAAAAGGACCCACCACCCACGGTGGGACAACATGGGTGGTATGGAGATGAAATGGTGAACCTTAAATTGGGCTTGTTTAAAAAGAAAATTTTCTGCACACACAGATTTCACCTTCACAGTTCTTTAAGTGCATTTATTGTGGTCATCATTATGAATAATAACAGCTACCTCTCAGCTATACGTCTGCCTCTTTTGAATAATTTAACTAATACTAGTTCCCCCTGAAGTTCTGCGACACAGAGGATCACAATGTACAGTTTGCTTTGCCAAGCAAGGTTGTGGCAAAACTCTGCTTTGGGTTGTGCTGTCTTTCTTGTGCTTGACTTGTACTGAACTCTGGCCCTGTTTGATAGTTAGTTTGTGCCATCCACCCTCCTCCTGACAATACATGTAATAAGCAATGCAGGGCTCACTCTTTATATAGTGTCGTATGATCTGCAAGATTGTTTTCTGTCAAGTAAATTCTGAGGCAAAGTAGAAAGCACTACTTTGTCTCTGGGACGTGTTCTGTCTTAAAGATACAAATAGAACCTGAAATGTTCAGACGCCAACTGGAGTGAATTTCTCTGCCTGGTCTCTCTGTGTTGGCAGCTTTTAGCCCCCCTTTGCCAGGGGCATGTGTACCAGACGGTGTGTTTTCCACAGGGCCCTGTAGCAGCCTAGAAGAGCGCAAGGTGGAGGGATATGAGGGTGGATCCAGGGCAGCTCACTATGTGCTTGTTCTGATCTGCACTTGTCTTGTGTGCACATGAGCCTGAACCCCATTTTGGTTGTGTGTTGCACGTATGGGCTGTCCCTGTTTGCTTCATGGGAACTTGCTGGCCTGCAAGGATCATTCCTGCAGTTTCCAGCTGCCCGAGACATCTGATCTTGGATGAATTTCAGGGCTCACTTGTATGCAGCAAGCAATTACTTGCCAGCAGCAAGCTCAGAGTTTCGGGTCTCGAGTTGTGCTCTGCACTGCTCTGCTTGTAAGGGTGAGCTTTGCAGAGCGTGTGCTGAACTCATGCAGCTTATCTATAGAGGTGAGCATAGCGCTGCTGTGTTGTAATTCTAGTTATTGTGGGTGCAGCTCTGCCCATCCGACACATGCAAAGACTATGCAAATTGTCAGGGTAATGGCAAGTTCTGCCCAGCGCGCAGCGGATGAACTGGAGGGCTGCAATTGCCTCTCTGCCACTGACTTGCACCATTTCACGGTGATTACACGTGTACGTTGCTCTCAGCTGTGTTTTCGGTTAAGCAAGTATCTTATTTCTGCTGCAGCTGACACACAGCCCTTAAAAAGTGCAGGCCTCGCTGGTAGCGCTTCTTGCTGAATCGTGCTTGCCAGGTAGGTCTGTCTCTCTCTTCCCCCTCCTGCCTTCCAAAGCTATTTTAATAAGAATGGGAAGCAAAAACTTTCTGCAGCATTGCCTTTTATACAGTTCCGGGTAACTTGCTTTTACTTGACTTTACTTGACTTGTTTTCTTTCTATCAGTATATAGCACAATTACTTCTGTTAAGTGATCTGTTAAATATCAAGAAATTTCCTTTCTTTTTTCCTCATTTTTCTAAGCTATCTAATGTTGTGCTAAAATCTATAAACAACTTTATAAGAAGGACATCTTTCCAAGTCCAAGGAATGTAAAGTGAGATTTAGCACATGCTTCACTTTAGCTGGGAATATTAAAAAGCATGACTTAGCATTTAACAAGTGTAAGATCTGAATTTAGAAATGCAGATGTGTTTGGAAATGGCTCACTGTGCATTGATTTGTCTGATATACAAGTATAGTAGGTTCTTCATGACTTGCCTTTGTAATCATTCAACTTTAAAACAATTTAATTTTTAAAATTAAAAGGTGTTTTTCAAATAACTGGAAAATTAGGTTATACTTCTGTTGTATTTTTAAAATGAAAATGGAAAAAAAAAACTTAAATAAGATTCTCTAGACTATGTTCTATTTTTATACTGCACTTTAGGAGGATCAAAAAGTACCAAAGCCACTGCAGTCCAAATCACCATTTTGCATCTCCTATATTATCTTTTTTGCTTTAAAACCACTAACATAAAATTGTATTTTCTTTTCTTACAATTGCATATTTATTCTGGCTGGCCTCAAGTCGCATCATACCACTAAAATACACTATAATTTTGCTGCAGCAAAATGGGTCACATTTTCTAATGAACTGCTCACTCTGCGCATCTGCTTGAAGATGAAAATAATTGCTTCCAGATGTTACCCATTTCTAGAGGGGACATTTACTTTAGACGGCACTTTCTTTCAACCCAAAAGTTAGGCTTTCTACAGGCAAGATAAATCGTCATCTGGTTTAAATCAGTGTAGCACCACTGAAAACAAACCAGGGGTAGTTAGCTATTTTGTCTATTTTAAGGCAAAAGCTCTGTGCCAGTTTACACCAGATGAGGTTCTGGTTCTACAGCTTCAGGGCAAAATGTAAATTTTTGTCTGAGATGATTGAAAAAGTAAACCAAAACCTGTCAGCTGCCTCCATGCTTGCTCCTAGCAGGTAGCACTGTACTGCTCACATGGAGAGGACTAAGGTGCTGCTCTCCCTTGGGCAGATGAAGCCCCAGTAAATAGTGTGGGAGCCTGTAAGGTAAGTGCGGAGTGACAGCAGGCAGTGCGCCCAGCTAGCTCTGCTGTTAAAAACCTCAGGGTGGATGCTGTGCCTGCTTGCTTTACTAACAAGTCTTGTTTTATCATGCAACACCGTGGCAATGTCAAATTACAACAATTCTTAATGTTGCTGGTATTCAAAAGTACATACAGACGGTCCGTGGACAGGGTCCAAAGTCACCTAATCTCACTAGCCATTTTAATGCTCAATAGCTTTATTTCATGTCAAAATTCCCATTTAAAACTACATCTTAATCTATGAAATTTTTCTCTGCTAAGAGCTGTACAAAAGCCTGTTGCAGTCTGAGTTGGGCTCTGCCTCTGGAGTGTGTGCAGGTTAGTGGAGTCCTATAGCCTTGGCTTTTGCGCAGCACTGAAGAATCGTGTGTAATTTTTGCTTTTTATTGCATTACTTCTTTTAATGCAATGATTTTGGAAACCAGGCAATACTGTGAACTTGTTAGGTGACTGCTGTTTAAGGTTCCTGAGCAAAAAGGACAGCGTGTTTCTGGTAAGTGATAGATCGATCTCTTTCAGGGAAAACCCAGGGCATGAGGCTACATGTGTTTCTTTTCCCATCCCCAGCAGATACTGCTGGCAGCGTCATGGCAGCAGTGGGTAGCTGAGATCACTGATGTTGCAATGCGGATGCAAGCCTAGTACTATTTTTAATTTGAACACTATTCCCGCTAGATTAAAACAATTTACATGTAGAGAAGATCTGGGTTCCAAATAAACTGTAGCTGTATAATTTTTTAAAATAACATTTGTTTGTTGCTTCCCTGGCTCTGAACCATAGTCTGCAACATACTATTCTGTTTGTGGAAGAAATGGGAAAAGGGTGTTTCTAATTCTTCAGTACCATCAGGGTATCCAGAATGTCAAATTCAGTTTAGTCACTTCTGTGTAATTCAAAGCATAATTGTCTGTAATTCTGTGGTACCCCATTTCATCTGATCAGAACAGCTACAAATTGCTACTAAATTTCAAAAACATTATGTCCAATTAGAAACCTAAGTTAAATTGCAAAATTGCAAAAATGCTTTCAAACTCGGGTATTGATTTATAGTAAGGCTAAAGATTTATAATGTTTTTTTTTTCCTTTGAATATGGAGGCCAGCAGAGATGGTTTTAGAAATTATATTCTGTTAAATTTAGGAAGATTTTTGGCTTTCCTGGGAACTGAGAGATGCAAGGTGAATATTGAAAGTTTTACAAACACAAAGATCCACTTTGTCCAAAATGTGCCCTGCAATCTAAAAAATTAGCTGAGTTCACACAAGTAAAAGTCATGTCCAAATGTTTCTAGTTCACCCACTTACTGAGTGTAGACGGTGCCTCCAGGTTCCAGGATGTCATTCCGCTTCCCATTCAGTGCTCTTCCCTCCATGCCACAACAGTCTTCAGAAGTCCTATGCATAATCAGCTTCCAAGTACTATTGGCACTGCTGGGGAAATGCTGCTTATTTTTGGTGCTATGACTTCTACTTAAAGTCCTCATTCAGCAATACATTTATGGCTAAATAACACATTATAAAAATGATATAATTCTAAAACGTTGCGTTTTAAATCTAAAACGTAGCTCTGCGTGTTCTAGGAATTAATTGAGCCCTTTTAATGCGTGAGCTGAAGATCTCTATGGTGTTTTGTACCTTTGGGTTTGTACGGCCTCCATATTATGTTCTAGATTGATGTGTTGCCCTGGAATTAACTCTGGTCCACACGTTTGCTTAAAATGGTGAGCGGGATACCAGCTTAGTGAGTAACATGGGAGAACGTTTATGGGAAAATAGCAGCAGAACTAAGAATGCACAGTTCAAAGGATAAGCACCACTAAGGGAGGCAAAGAAATTCACTTTCCTGTGATTTTTTTTTTTCCCCCCCTTTCTAACGATGGACTTTTTTTTTTTTTTTTTTTCCTTTTAAGTAGAAGTACTGGGTAGAGACTTTTCTATGGGTCTGTGTCAAACCATGTAACATCCTGTCTGTATTCACCTAAATAGAAATAACCGAGGAAAATATTCTACTTTTCTTTCAGGAGCTGCTAAGTCGAACATCCCTTGAGACTCAGAAATTGGATCTAATGGCTGAAGTCTCAGATCTGAAGATTAAGCTAGTTGGCATGGAGAAGGAACAGAGCGAATACGAAGAGAAACAGAACAAAGCAGAGGTGGGCTGCGTTCCTTGGCGGGTCTGCCACTGTGCCCGGGGTGCTGGGGGTCTGAGTGCTGGCACCCCTGGGGGTGCTGTCTGCAGCGTGCAGGAGGCTCTCCTCAACCTACCGCACAGGCTGCACGATCAGTCCTGTTGATTCGGTGATTATACATTTTGGTGTTGTGGTTTCTTTTCCTTTCTCATTATATTGTAAAGATTGCTGTTTGGCTTTGATCAAGATACAAAAAGTCCTTTCCAGATATGTACTTTAAAATTGTTGTTTATTTAACACTTTCCTGTCTAAAGGAGCTGAAATGGCACAGCAATCTGAGCCCTAGCAGAGTTTGTGTATTTCCCCCTTTATGTGGGAGAGAAGACAACCAGCCTGGCAGTATTGGGAGTACTACAGACATATGCATGCAAGGGCACTCACTGGTTTTAAACATTTATGGCCCTTAGGGAGGAAAGGGGGGGAAAAAAGGAAAGGGAAAGGCTGTTTTCCTCAAATGGTTTTTTTCCTCTGTGGTTACATAATAGATAACAGGGGAAAAAATAATACATATTAGAGGAAATTCTAATCCACTCTCCCTTTCAGATGTGAAGATTTCCAGCCACCAAAGCTTTGTTTTTTACTGTACAGGTTAATGAAGAGAGTATGAAGCAGGGATTGAGTATGAACAACAGGTCCATAATCCATTGTCTTTATGGAGCCCAGTTCCCTAGAAACCTCTTTGCGGTAGTGAGCAAGCAGGTGGGAGCTGGGAAAGGATTACGGAACAACGAGCTCTTGTCGCCTGTTGCTCCACTCAGTGCTCCTGCTAGGGACAACTGGCAGGGCTGGGGCCAAGTTTTATACTTTGCTGGATGAAGAAAGGCTTTATGTTCCAAGTAGACAGAAGAGAATTTGCAATGCAGGCAATGTCAGAAAACTGTTTGCTCTCTGTAAGGTTGCTAGTGAAATACTTGATAGCTACTGATTATGCACGTATAATTTACCTGCAGTGTGTTTTAGGCAGGTGTGTTTGTTTATTGCTTTATTTCTCTGTTAAGTTCTCTTTAGAGATGAAGAGATAGCTCTCAGGGCTGGCAGAGGCTGCAAAGGGAGGCAGCAGCTGCTGGTTTTGCCGTATGTGGCCCACTCGTGCTCCTTCCCCACAGCAGCCGGTCGTGGGCAGCAGCCCCGGGCTAGCCGAGCACGTCGCAGCTCTGTGTGACTGTAGCGATGGCAGCCGCTCCAGCTGCTGCTCCCGGGCCGGGCTGGGCCCGCGTTTGCCCCGGGGTGCCCGGAAGGCGCCCAGCTCCCAGCTTGGGCTGGGAGTCTCTGCGGCGCTGCTGGGTGAGAGGGAGCACCAGGACTCGCGTCTGATGGAGAAGCTGAGAATCCCCGTGCCAAGCAAGCCCTGAATTATTAACTAGCCCAAGGTCTCATTAGATTTCTGGCCTCCAGGAAGTTGCAAAACTATGTATACAAAGCAAGAAAAGTCGGCATTGTAACTAAAGCCATGGGAAATGGGGAGCTTGTTTGGTTTGCTTGGGGAGACTTTTTAATGATTTCAGATTGTTCCAAATAATTATTAATCCAAATGAAAAGGAATTGTTTTCAATGAGATATGATACTTGCTTAAATTCCAATGCTTTAACCCCATTTTATTTCCTTTTATTGTAAACTTTGCTAGTTTTCAAGATTTTTCCCTTTTTTGAACAAAATTTGATCAGGATGAAAATTTCCAATATATTTTCTTTATGCAATTTGACAAGTACTGCTTAAATGTGCTAGTAATGTTGAGGCCCTGTCCATGCTCACTGTCTGACTACATCTCTTTAGTAAATAAACCATCCTTAACTAGGGGAACAGCCTACCTCTAGGTGACTCTTGTTTATGCCTACAGAACTGTGTTGTGGTAACGTAATTGCTGCAGAGTGACACAGTTCTCCAAACTGACCCTGGCAGAATGAAATTAATCTTGCTGTAACTGTATCTCTGAATGTCATGGCTACCCCAGCACGCGCGCACAATATCTAGTGTTTCAAACGGAATTGTAGTATTTTCACACGAGTGAGGCCAAAGCTGTGGGTGACAGAGCTGGATCCTTTCTTACACACTGCAGTTTGCCAGCTGCTGCTCTCAAGACTGAATTTAGAATTAACAGAGCTCTGATGGGATGGCTTTGCCACAGTCACAGGTCTTTCATTTTGCCCTAGCATGTGTGCTCCGGGGGAACACGTATGTGTGCTGCCCACTAACTAAATCATTTTAAAGAGCTCTTTAATTACACTGCATATCTGACCCTGCCATTTCTAAATATAATAATGGGCTTTAAAAAAGGTATATGAGATGCGCAATTGCAGAATAATTCAGCCAAAAGCTATTTGCAGTCTGTCAGCTTATTTCACAGCAGCTGTTTCCAGCCAGATAGAATTTATCTGCAGAATTACCTATCTGCTTGGGTTGGGGAAAAACAAAGCAAATGAAGATATTCTATGTATGACTGAGTTTTAATTTGGCAGGTCCATTTCACGTTGTCTTGTGCAGCTGTGTTTTAGTTTTTAGTTAGCAACAAAATCTATCAAGTATCTCTAAACTATCCAAGGTATTAATTCCACACTGAATGCCACTTGCCTCTGTCTTTTCAGAAGTGTGCTAAATTTAAAGTGTCTTTTTTATATATACATGTAGCACAGGGGCCAAGAGCTGTTTATTAGTGGACAGTCTCCCTCTGAGTCTGTCTTTTGAATTATCTTTTTGCAGAATAATGTTATGCAATATCTAGGACACAGTTATGTGTAATTTCAGTGACACTCGAGTCCATGAACTAAATATCCCTGTGGTCCTCTCTCGTGCACAGCTACAGGGTGAAGTGTTTGGTGTCAGAGCCCTGCACAGACCAAGCCCCCCATGGGCACAGGGCTGGCCGGCTCCAGCCTGCAGCTCGGTGGCTCTGTGAGCTCTCTGACTCTGGCAGCAGTGGTGAAAATGAAACAAACTAAGTGTGAAAGACACGGGGTTGTGGATCTAAATTGTGAATAACCCACTACTGCAATCGCTCTGCTGTACAGTGCGCTCACAAGAGGTTGAGTTAGCTTGGGGGACACCAGTGTCCCACTGTGCTGATGTAAAGCAACTAATGTAGCTGGTGAACGTAGGAAGGATGTAGCTTCACCTAGGTGAGCCGATGCTGAAGGAAAGCACCTTTTCTTAGCAGTCAGCCTTGGCAAAACGTGTCAGCCAATAAAAGACTGGGGATGGCAGAGCCGGTGCACAGGGGCAATGCCACTGCTGTTCCAAATTTCACCTTACGCACGATGCCCATGAGAACTGAGGTGAAACTCCTGCAGCTCACTCCTGTGGATGCCTTCCAAGGGGGATGTTTGTGAATGATGAAGGTTGTCTGTGGAAGCTGCTGCAGTCCAAGATTGGCTCTGTTAAGTACTTCCTTGTGATAATAATAATGTAAATAATACTGTAAATCCTGTCCTTGTGTTAAGAAATGGCTGTTCCCTAGCACAGGCAATAGCCAATTTTGAGATTACTGAAGCATCAGAGAATTGAGACCACAGGACTATAACTGTAATGATGAAACAGAGAGTCGTGCCCTGCTTTCTGTTGTTCTCTCCATTGGTAACTTTTTAACTTCTTTGAAAAGTGCATTGATCTCGTCAAATTTATTTCACTTAGGAAAAGTGAAAAGTCACTAAGCGTATATATATATGTATATATATGAACATTAAGAGAAGGACCCTCCAAATTTATAATCTTTGAGAATATACCGAGGACTATTTGCTGCTCAAAGAGGGAGTTAAGGTGAAGTGACATATAGACTTCAATATTTGTATTTGGTGGTTGCTTTCCATAACTGCAATATTTTGTGTATCACTGTTTCAGCGAAGCTGGCCAGCATATCAGTGCACTTAGAGGTCATTACTTTTTCTTCTATGATACTCTTTTGACTTCTCTTACAAATGTTGCATAACTGTTTATTTATGTCCTGATGCTGACCAGCTGGATATAGCAAAATAGCAAGCTACATTATGTAGTATTTTTCTGACCCTTGATAAACCTGGAGACACAATTACTTTACTGATAAATTATGTTTATAAGACAAAGTGGGTATGGCGGTAACTGAGCACTTGGCAATGTTTTCCTAGTAGATGATTTGGCTGCATAAATTAATGTAACCAAGTCCATTTCAGGAATCTGCCTTTCAGCCAATGTTACAAATTATATTCCAGGTTTTCCCGATATCTGCCCTAGGCTGGATAAGTCACTAAAACATGCAGCAAACTCTGATCTTCACATTGGTATGAGAATCAGAAATTACTGTGGAACATGGACTCCATAGTGGTGAAACTGCAGCGCTGTGCAACACTCCATGTTCATACCCATTCACATGCCCTTCAGCAGAAGGGAAACGTTATTTGTCTCGTTATAGCTTACCTGTGCTGTGCTTCATGCCCTCCTTTGGGATGCAACTGTAGAAATACCTCCTTTGCTGCTTGTCTTTGTTTTTCTTCTCATCCGTCTCTCTTTCCTCCCCATGTTTCCAGTCAGTAGTGAACCTGATCAGTGAGCTACAGGAGCAGATGTGTAGACTGCAGCTGGAAATTAATAGTAGAATCCAAGAAAGAAAATCTCAAGATAGGACAGCTGACTTGACACCTAATGGTCCTCAAGCTAGTCCAAGATCAGTGGTAGAGACCCTCAGCCAGAAGAACTGCTCTGGATGTGATGTACGAGAAGTGCCCTTGGCAGAGCCTGTGCATTGCCTCTTCTTTTACGGAAACTAAATTCTGCTAACCAGGACTGCAGTGTGAATTGTTACCATTAATCTTGGGGGCTTTTGTTAGTAGTAGTGTTATATGATGGTTATAATAGTGATTATAAAAAATACAAAGTAAAAAATCCCAACACTGGGACAGATGGCACAGATTTGGTCACCATTGACTGCTAAAGCACAAATATCTCTAAGAACTATTGCATCTCTCAGCTTTTATGTGACTTTATTTTTAGGTCACAAGTGTACTTTTTTAGCTGTATTTTTTTTGTTTGTTTGTTTGATCTGCAGCATGATTTGGTAATTTTTCTCGGTGTAATGTCATCCTAGATGTGCATTATAGTGCATCCTATCTTCTAACCGATCTTCTCAATATTTAATTCTTGAAGATCTTAAAAGTTTGCACAGGTATAGAATACAGTTTCAGGTAAGACTATGAGGGAAAAAATATCTAAAAAACATATGGAATATATTCTCTCTTTTCATTATGATAAAATCACTGGAGCCATAATAAGTATAATCTATGTGTACAATTTAAAAATTAAAAATTGCCTTTTTTAATTCTCGGACATAAGCAGTTGTGGGGAAAAATATTTTTGAACTTACACTACAAATCTTCACTTTTATCTGTTCAAAAATATAACACATATCAAAGCAAAAGCTGTGCATAAGCTTTTAAAATCAACTGGAGGGGGAAATGAAACTATATGTTTGAGAAAGTCCTGCTTTTTAATTGTTCGCTTTAGTTGCTGCCACCCTTTAATTAAAATGTGGATCCTCGGAGCTGATTCTACAACTAACATGCTTATATTGTGATTTTTTTTCTTTTTCACTAGTTTTTCTCATAGATTTATTTTACAAAAATATCTCATTTGGGTATAAAGACGATGTCTCTTGTGAACATAGCGCTATTGCTTCTGAGCTTACCTCTGTGTGGAAGTGATGAGTGACCTATTAGACTACCGTACAGGCTACATATTGACAAAATAATCTAAAAGTCAAATCTGGGACTCATCTATGATAAAAATTAATTTAATCCAAGATATGAGTATGGTTGCTTAATGTGTATGATACTAAATGGGAACCTAGAAATAGGTTGCACTTCCAAATTACTGTAATCGAGAGTTCATTTCAAGACATTTGGTCTTGTCAGAGTTATATCAAGGTTTTAACACTGACAGCCTCAAGAATGAGCTTTAAGATGTGATTCAGTCAAGGGAAGGGACAAGGGAAAGGCAAGAGAGAACTTTCAGAGGAAGGGACAGAGAAATATTAAGAGCCCTGGGGCTCAACACTGCATCACCTCAATCTGGAAAGTGCCCAACATCAGTGTCGAAAGTAGCATACTGTACTCAGTCAAATAGGACTACAAATGTATGGTACTGAATGCTTGTAACATGTTAAATATTCTTTATTCTGAGTGTTATTTTTCTTAGATAAGTAGCTTAAATACCTCCTTGGAGAGAACAGTTCATACTACATGTGGCTGACTGTTTTGGACTTCTTAGCTTGTTTCTACAGAGGCTCATGACTTCACCAGGGTCATCTGGTTTGGTGTAGAAATTTGCTCATAGTTTCAGGTAGAGAGTTCGAGAAAATATTTCTTACAATAGTCTCTGAAATAAAAATAGCTTTTGTCTATGTAGCACTACAATTTTTTATGCAGATGGTTCAGTGCTTATTACTGCATGGTCTGTGCATGATTTTTAATTTGAGACTACAGAAAATTATTATTTACCTGAGCAATCTTACATTTAGCTGTTCTTCCTTTGCAGAATTTGCTACAAGAACTTAGACATCTCAGAATTAAAGTAGAAGAACTGGAAAATGAAAGGAATCAATATGAGTGGAAATTGAAAGCAACCAAAGTAAGCAGAATATTTGGTATTTACTAATGACAGACTTATTTTGGCTGGAAAGGGATAGGCACACGTCTCATCAGTGTTTGCTTTTCTTACAATTCTCTTGTTTCATTGGCAACTATGAATCAGGTTTTCTTGAATCATCTGTATAATGAGTATCTTGGCTTAAAGTTTTTGTACCTTCTCTTTTGTGCCTTTTGTGCCCTTCCCTGCAGTTTCCAAACTTGTACCTTTAAAAGAACCATTGGGACTTAGAACTAAGAGCTGTTCTGAGGAGAGGCCTCTTTCGAAGGTTTTCTGTCCTTCATTTCTGTAATGGTGACAAGTCTCTATGGAATAAGGTTTCCAGGCTGAAAATCATTGTAAGGAAGAGGCATGCAAAGCTGGTGGAGTGTTTGGAATTTATTTTAATAGACACTAAGGCCAAAATGCACTCCTAGATCACTACTTTGACTTAATATATATCAACAGCCATACCTGTCTTCCCCTAAACTGACCTTAACAGCTCCTGGAAAGCTGTCAGATCTTCATCTGGAGATACTCAACATTTGAAATAATGCATCATTTTTTGTAAAAATTGATTTCAAGGGTTGGACATTGTCAAACAGTTGCACTTTATCCTAGTTTGAATTTTTTAGCACTTTTCCCATTAGATTTAGAAATGCCTTAGTAATCTTCCCTGTTAGAGGTTCACTTTTGTGATGCAGTCATATTCCCTTCCTGCACCATATATTTGCTACCATCTGTATCAGTGTATCAGTGACTGTTTTTTTGAACTGTGGCTTGGTCTTGGAAAAAACATTTCAAGTTATTAAACTGAGTTTAGTGGTGTTTTTTTTTTTTTTTTTTTTTTTTTTTTTTTTTTTTTTTTTTTTTTTTTTAAGATACCCTCATCCAGAAGTGACAGATAGATATTTATTTGCATGAGCATTTTTGGAGAATTCTCAGATGAATATTGAAATCTTCTCTTTTTTATTTGATTATGATAATATCTTCTATGTTCAACAAAATATTTTCTTTCTGAAGTGATGACATTGAATAGTTTTTGGGAAAATATTTTACTAAACAGTGTGTGGCCAGCCGCCAAGAGAGACAAAGATTGAGAAGTGTAGGAGGAGGAAAATAAGAAAGGAAAATAATAAACCAGTCAGAGAAAATATGGGAGCAGAAAGGAATACATGTGCAGGGGAAGAGAGGAGAAAGAAAAATAATTGTAAAGATGTCAGGAATGAGAAATGAAAGAAAAGGGTACTTAAGAGAGCAGTAAGATCAAAGAGACCAGAGGAGACAAACCCAAATCTGGTATTAAGAGGTCTGCAGCTTTGTCTTCTTGTTGCTCCAGCTTCTTAGATGAGAGATTGGAATATTTCCATGACTGGATATAAAAAGCACATTAGTCAGTGGGAAGTGTAGGAGCCCTTCTGGGCTGCAACAAAGCACATTGTTCTATTCCACAGGGAATTTCAGACAGCGTGGTGATCCTTTGCTGCCATCCAGCTGCCTGCTTGCTGGTCAAAATGTGGGTCTGTGTACAACAAATAGGTCATTTTTTCCCTGTCCAGATCAAGTTTGGTGTGTTGGGATATTCCCCCTGTTGATTTTAATATTTTGAGAAGCTGGTCACATGCTTGTGCTTTTGTTTTCATTTAACTGCAAGGAATTGCAATTTTGCTGCTTTGCTTTTGCTGGGAGAAAAACAGAATGGAAAGGCATAAGGCTTTAATGCTCTGAGGAAAATCCGAATGAAGTTATTACCTCAGTAAAGCTGGGTGCTGCTGCCAGGCTTTCTGAGATAAAGACAAAGATGAGTGTCTCATGTCAGACAATCACAGAAATCTTATTATTTTTTTTTTTCCCCCACCCTTCTGTGTTCCTGAGGCCCTTAATGTATGAGATTTAATCCTGCTCTGGAGGCAGCACAAATTCCAATAAGCACATGTAACCACTGACTTCTGTTCCATTATGGAATATTGCTTTCTGAGCCATCCTTTGCTTCTCTCATATTTGTCACCTAATGGATCTGATGCGTGTGAGGAAGAACAGACCTGTCAGGCTGCTGCAAAGACGGGGCAGCATTGATAGATTCTCAAATACATTAATAAGTTGTAACTAGAATTAAAAAACAAGATATCTTAAAAATGCTTTGCTATCTTTCAGTGGCTTTGGAGCAGGATTCAGGAGTTTCCCTGTAGTATGCATTATATATGGCCAGCATTGCCGTTTTGAGAGTTTCCCATCAGTTTATGTACATGAATTGTTAAAAATTTAACCTTTCACACAAGCTCTTCCCCAGGAGCTAACTGCATGGGGGCGGGGGGGAGAAAAGTGAGCTTCTGTAACAGGTTATAGTGTTTGGAAAATGTCCTGAATGAGGAATGGGACGTCACTTGAAAGTGTTTCCTTTCCCCCAGTCCTTAGGGAAGGAGAGAGAATTGGCAGTGACTCTAAACTGAATTTGTTGTGTTCTCTTGCAGGCTGAGATCGCTCAGCTTCAAGAACAGCTAGCGCTCAAAGATGCAGAAATCGAGCGCTTGCAGAGTCAGCTCTCCAGGATGTCATCACATCATGAAGTTGCAGAGAAAGGTAAGCGGAGGGAAATTAAAACCCTCACCTATTTTACTTCACTCTGGCTCGGTATTTCAAAGTAAAATAAGGAGATACAAAATGTGACCTTACAGAATTTATTCAGGAAGGAAGAATGGTGCAGACCTATTTATTTTTCTGATAGAGCAGATAATGAGATATCCAAAGGTCAGTGAAAGCTTTTCTTCAGGGAATTTCCTTATAATTTGAAAGACTCATTTGAGTGTTTTCTGGAAACATATTTTTTGTGTATACCTTCAAATTTTCTTTTAAAAATCTTCATAATTACTATTTTTAAGAACAAAATTGTCATAAAAGAACCTCTGCATAATGTTTGAGTATTCAAACATTCTAAAAGTTACTTGCTGATGGATGCCTTCCCTTCGTTCAGGGCTATATCCTGGATTTCTATTTTAAATCTATGCAATTAAAGGTTAATGACAGATAAGGCCATGCCCTTTGATCTCGGCCAGTAATAACCAGTTCTGTCCAATACTGACCACCTAGAGCTTCTGTCAACTACTAGGTTGTGAGCCATATGATATTATATGTTGTGTTCTATGATGCTGACTTGTTAATGTATAGAACTAGGGTGGTGCATCAACCTACCTGCACTAATGTCTTTGGTGGATTAATTTGGTTAATGTGCAGAGTGCTTTTGTGAGAGAGGGCTTCAGGTGCATTGTGCTGCCCATCTCTCAGCACTCACTACACGTCTCCTTCCGAGAATAAAGGCAGATGTCCCTTTCCAAAACAGTCTGTATGTGGACTGTTGTTTGTTGTGAAGAAGTGAGAGTCCTTTCAAGTAAGCACTAACATTTACGTAGTGCTAATTTCACTCAGCAGCAGAGCTTCTGCATGTGGAATACTGCATGTCTTGCTAGAAAATTAGTTCCTCTAACAACAGTATTTTGGACTCTGCTACTAATACACTTGTGTATTTTCTATTGGATTATCACACAATTTATAGTATTTCAAGAGAAAAATAGTTGTATGATAATAAATCAAGAGCTCAGCAACTTTCAGCTTCCTAGTAGTGTATCTATCCCTGTTCAGACTGAAGAGAGGGAAAAATCTCTTCTTGATTTCAGTGGGAGAAGAATCAAACCTTGTGGATCCTCAGGGAACTTTTAAGGAAACTGCTTAGACTGTATTGCAATGGCAACAACATGCAGTAGCAACAGTGTCCCTCCAAAAATGTCCCACTCCTCAGATTTTAGTGGTCTTCGAGAGATAACATAGAAAAATGTTAAGATGTTTCTAGTATGCTTGAATGCCTATTCTAATTAAGTTGCAAACTTTATCTAATTTGTGCTTTTTCTACCAACTTTGACTCTCACCACTTACCATCGTAGAGGAAGTTTATAGGAGAAGGCTAAAAGAAAAACGTAAGCCTTGCGATTCACTTTTGGCTTTGCCTCCCTGTCCCTTTCACACCCACAATCACTAGAGCGCATTCTGCAGCAATACTTCTATGTCTGTTTACATTTGGCTGTCTACATGGAGCCTATACATGAGACGCCGCTTCCATGGCTTGCAGCAAGCACACAGCTACTTGCCCTGCTTAGTGAGATTTCACTTCAGAAAAAAATATCAGGTTTACAAATCAGATGGTTGGACTTCAAAGGGACATGGTCAAGGTTAACGGGGCCAAGAGTTAACCTTTACCTTTTTTACTTGATGTGTGCAAAGCCCACACACTAGCTGCAAAGATTATGTTAATTGAAAGCCTCTTTCCTTGGAAGAAAAGGTCTGGGCTCTTTTTCTTTTCTTTTTTTTTTTTTTAATTGGTGCAATAAAATTGAAAAAGGAGCTGAATAAAAATTTGATGTTCTTACAAATATTGTGAATAAATTTTGCTTTAAATATATTTTAAAATGCCTCAACACCATTTCTTTTTGAAGTCTAAAACTTCTGAATAGAAATTAGTAGGACTGTGATTTTAATGGCTTCTTAAAAATCTTCCAATTGCTTGCCCACTGTCTGCTGGCTTTAGTTCTTGATTTGGCTGTGTCTGTGCATGCCTTGTGTTACTGTGTTACTGAATGTTCTTTTTCTTTTCTTTTCTTTTTCTTTTTTCTTTTTTTTTTTTTTTGGAAGATAAATGTTTGCAAAATTAATTTACTTGTTTTAAAATGTAATAATTATGAAATATTTTTCAGAATACTAACCAGAATAAAATAATTACAGTTTCTGCAAACTATTTAGAGATGACATTGTATGTTCAGCTTTTAAACCATTTTTTTCGCAGTATTAATTCTCTTCTTCCTGTCTGACTTCATGCCTGTTACATCTGTTTTTCATAGTCCTTTGTGAAACAAATGGGTTTGATTTAATGTCTAATTCTAAAATATGGATTCCCTGAGTGACAGCTGCTGTGGGTCTACAGGGTTAGGTTTTGTCTCCTTTGTCTCCTAGATCCAATTCAGATTTGGTACTGGAGGACTTAATAAGAGCAGTAGGTAGAAAGCAAATGAAATATTTCACTTAGCAATGTTAGGATGACACGACCAACAAAGACGTAATTTTTTAGAAATAATTTTTAAAGTGGTGTTTTGACTACAACATTCCTGAATAATCTCTGAATCTCTCCAGTAATACTATGTTGTGCATGACAAAAATTTTTCATACTCATTTTTTTATGAAAAATAGTTTATAAATTTTCCTTACTAGAGGATGTCAGACAAGTTTTTGTTATTTTAATCTTCAAGTTTTATAAATATTTTTGAACTACTTCCCATAAACTGGACATCTTTTCCAAGTGGAAGGCAATTTCAATGGTGCTAAAAATTATTTCCTTAAATGTTTCCTCTCATCTTTTGCAAAATAAGCTTCACTCTTGTATTTTCCTTTTTACTATACTTTCCTTTTGGAGTATAAAATGGGATTATGCAATCTTTTGTAAGCAAAAACAGCATGTTGGTGTCGTATGAAACTTTTAATTATTCTGTTTTTGAAAAGCTTTATTTTAAAAGGCGCTACATTATTAAATTATATTTATCTACTGTGCTACTGAAATGGTTTGGGTTATTTATAAGAACACAAAAGATCACAAAACAGATCATTTAGACTAAATACAGTAAGTGTATTTTTTTATAGCATTGTAAAAATGTTTTTAGATCAGGAAGTTCAGCGCTTGAAGATAGGAATGGAAACATTGCTGGCTGCAAATGAAGAAAAGGTGAGAAAATAATCTCTTCTCTATCTAGTAAGCACAAAACAGTGGTCATGAATCTCTGTAATGAGCTGAACAACAGGCCTTCGCTCTGATTTGGGGGTTATTCCATGAGATTGTGACAGAATGTTGATTTTTAAATGGCAAGTGGCAGCTGAAACCACTAACCTTGCTGCAAACATAGTAAACAGGTAATTCCAGAGGGAAGAGAAAGCCAGGGCTGGAATTTGACGGATCTCTTGCTGGTATTGAAAAGATCCCTAAGGCTTGGTTAAGCGGCTTTTCATCTTCCAAACTTAATCTGAAGTGCATTGACACCCCTAGTTCAGACTGTGCTAAAAAAGGTAGGCCAAGAAGGCCTTTGAATCAGACTTCCATCTCCTGGGAGAAGGAGGCCAGGATTTTAAAGAGAAATACAAGCCCCCAAAAGTTTTTTAATGAGGCATGTAAAAGTTCTGATCCTGCTTTCCGGACGAGCAGGCCAAAATCACAGAAATGCATGTGTGACACTGTGTTTCTGCAAATTAAAGACGTAGGACATTTAAATATGGTTTCCTTTAATGCCTTTCCCAGGACCGTCGGATAGAGGAGCTAACGATACTGCTCAGCCAGTACAGGAAGGTCAAGGAGATAATGATTGCAGCTCATGGTAAAACATGTTGGTGAATACTTTTCTCCTATCAGGTCTCTTAAACACTGTGCATGCTTCAAGTTCTTTTTGTTCTTTAAATGGATGTGTGCAATAATATATATTACATTATGCTTAAATATGTATCTGAGTAATGAGGGGAAGCATACATTTTTTTCATATATATAAAGAAAGCTACAGTATGCCTTGAGCAGGTTGTGCATTGTTGTCTGTAACTTGTAGATGTTTAGTTTTGGTACCTTCTGCTGTGATCAATAACAACAATATCAAAAAAGGCAAAGATCCATCTGCAGATTTAGCTCCACCATTCCTGTTCCAGGAGACTTCTGTGACTGAATCTTCTGCTCAGGTGCATCAGTCTTAACCTAAAAATGTTTTGTTTGCCAGTTAATAGTAGATCCCTCCTTGGAACATAGTTTTGGGGCTATATGTTGTCCTAGACGATGTCATTAAGGAAGGACGGCTGATGAGCCTGCTTCTGTGCTCGTGCAGCCGCACATCGGCCCTTGGGAGACGCTGCCGCCGCAGCTCCTTGCGCGCCGAGGCGCTCTGCGGTGGGCAGCCGGGAACCAAGCCTGGGAAGCTGCACCATGGTTCAGATGATGTCCAACAAGCACACTCCCCAAACTTCTCATCAAGTGAAACACGGCGAGGAAGCCAGTGCTACCAAGTGGAACTTGCCTCGAACATCAAACTATAAATCACAGCAGCTCAGAAGCTGTTTCTTCAGCAGCTCAGCTACACGCAACAGCAGGGTGGACAACTGGAATATGTTGTTCCCCTGTAAATCAGTCTGGTGGTGAATCAAGAGCCCTAAGGGGGAATGTTGAGCAGACAGGTACCAAAAGGCTGCTAAACCAGAAGCATTAGATGAAGGTGGAAGTGAAATTTAGAGAGCAAAGTATATAAACTGTTTGGATGTGATTCTAAACATTATTTTATGCTACTTCTAATCTCTAATGCTCGCAGGTGCAACAGAAAGAGTTGTCTCTGGTGTCGGTGAAGAGGAAGTTGAGACAACTTTAAGGAAGTGGAATCTTTTGATTAATGCTCAGGGAGAACTGTTTAAAACAGAGGTACGTAGTAAAGATGTTTTAGAAACAAGGTCCACTATAAGGTGATCTGTCTGTATTGGCTTCCCTGTAGTAGCAAAGGAAATGTGGAAAAGGGTTTTGCCCTAAAAGAATTTTTGTGCCTGTCAATACGGGCTTGATAGACTTATTTCAGATTCAGCCGCTACAGCTACAGGCTCAAAGCTTTTATTTTACATAGGTCTCGTCAGGAGAACTGTCACTGGCTGTGCTATCTCCAGTGCCTCACAAAGCTATGGAAATCAGGCAAGACTTTTGTTTCATGTTTCTCATGGAGATTATCCTAAATCTATTTTATTTAATCTGTTTATATGTTGACATCTAGTTATGCCTGTTCTTAGCTTGGCAAGAACTTCTGGGTAGTTGCAGAATGAGTATTTGTCATGTGAATTTTACAGCACATAGTTGTAAGGTTTGAATTACAAGAATGAATGGGCAATTTTATAGATCAGAGGAAACATGTATTGTAGTACTTACAACAATGTATTTCATTCTGATTTGAAGTGGAAGCATTCCAGTATCTTCAACTAATCTAATCTCTCCACAAGAAGAATCTTTGGAAAACAGAAATAGGTAAGAATGAATAACTTCACTTGAAAGGAAAAGGATATAGTCAGGCATTTTTGGATACTTCTGTTTTTTCCTTCCATTTTTCATGTTTTAAAAGCCTTTAACTGTTGTGTACTGTTCTCCAAGAGTTACTGATGTCTACATTTGCTTGGTTAAGAGCTTCCCGAAAAATCATTAATACTCTGTAATGTTTAAAACTAAACACAGGACCTTGTTGCTTTTCACTGCTGATCAAAGCATGTCTTCTTGCTCTTTCTCACTTGGTCTATTGCAGTTCCCAGTACTATGAGGCTCAGTACCTTGTTAAAACAGGAAAAAAAAAAAAGTTTTTTTCCCAGTTATGACGTTTCTGTTACATACAGACATTGTGTGATTATATACGAGTATCATATGATACCACTGTGGTGTATGCAAAGGTGTTATCTCATTAATTTTTGTTGCTTTGGCCTGTTGCTCTTTATTTTAAGGGTTCCCCAGAAAAAAAAGTCAAGTAGTCTAGAAGAGTTGCAGAGTGAATCCCTGGAAAAGGTTGGTTTATATCTATTTAGATTTCTGAGGTTTAATTACAAGACTGAGATAAATATCAAATATAAATACTCTTTCTGTTCTGGATTTAGTGAATTTTACCACCACTAAATGCCCATGGAAAAAAAAACCCTAATGATATAATAGCTCATTTTTCATCCAATATCCAAGCTTAAAACAAACAATTTGACACATCCACATGTATATGCCTTCAAACTCAGCTTTTCAACTAAAAGAGAAGGAAAAACAATGCAAGAGAAATGTAGCAAATAATGATTAATGCCATCTGGAGAGGATATAAGTGTAATAATATTCTGTAGTAATTTGGTTATTCTAGTTCTTTAAATTTTCTTAAATTTGCTGTTAAACTTCTGAAGATGACAGCATCCAAGTTTGAAACTAATGTTGCCCTCATTTTAGTGTGGTAATACATATGACAAATTAATAACTAACAAATATCACTGTATGTGGAATTTATGAAGGTCTGTTTTCTTCTTGTTAAAATACTTAAATGTTTTACATACTAAATTTTCTTGTGCCATATTCAAAATCTTTTGTCTGTGTCTATGATGTGATGAGATGTGCTTACATATTTTGGCTGTAAATCTGCTGGATCTCTCAGATTGGAGATCACAGAGGAACAAGAAACAGAAACATCACTGTAACGAGTCAGCACAGCATTTAAATGTGGAATTAGCTGTGAGGCTTCCTAGTGAGATAAATAGCCTTACTTATATATGACTTATTGGCTAAATATGAAGTGGCCATAACTTTAATAAATAAATAAATAAATAAGCGTCTCTGATCTAGCCATATTGACATTTTTATCATTTCATTTCCAACACAATGTTTTCTGGGGTTTCAGATGTTACCTATGTTCTTTTTTAATGCCATATGCTAGCATTTTGCTTCCATGATTTTAAAAAGTCATATTCTCAAGTCGAAGTAAATTTAATGGGACTATTATAAGCCTAAAAATAGCAAAATCCCTTAGCTCTCAACAGAACCTAAATAGCACCTAAATTTTATAAAGTGGTTTGAACACAGGCCCATTTGTTGACTATTTTATTAAAATGAAATGAGGAGATAACAGACCTTGTAATATACTGTCAATGCATTAAGTAGCATCACTGTCATAGAAATCGGGCTAAATTTGACGTTCTCTGTACGTATGTTAATACTAACATTTGTCTGTTACTTTTTTCCATATAATTTTGAAATTACCTTCCCTGCAACTCCATAGTATGTAGACGGAAATCCAGTACAGCCTGTTGTAGAACAAGAGGTATATTAACCGTAAACTCGTTTAACCTTTATCTGATGTGATATGCTGTGATGGTATGACCCTCCTCACTTCCTATCTGTTTTCTCTTTAAAATGTTCATGTACTGACAAACTTCAAGTAAGGGGCGGGGGGAAGATTTGAGAGGGAATTTTTTATTATCAAAAAGTTTTCTGAGTATGTAAGGCTGGAAGCCAAAGTGGGTCCACTTTGAAAGAGAAAGAAAATGGTCATCTTGTATGATTGCAATCAGTGGATTGGATTGGTTCTCCACATGTTTGTTTATTTTGAAAAAGACAGGATATACTTCTGCACTCCTCTAAATAGGATAGAGAGCGGGGCACAGTCCCCAAAATCAATGAATCTGGACTCTGATTTTCAGATTATATGGTTACAAAGATCTATTTTGGCCTTGAAATAAGAACAAGACAAAGCCGTGGAGACTTCTTTAAATGTTTTATGTGTCATCTTGTCATAGAAAAGCTTGATCTAAATACTTCAAAATAGCTTTGTTAAAATGGAGCTACTAAGTAGGCATATGCTCTGTGTTTCTGGGTACCGAGTATGTTTTGCATATTTTCAGTACATTATTCTCCTACATAAGCTTCTTTCTGAAAATGTTGAAACGAACACCAGTATCATCAAACTGAATGTATATTACTCCCACAAATGCCAATTGGAGCTGCAGGTTCATTACCTCTCCAGAAAAGCCTCTATATTTCTGTATTTTTGCCACTTGTGGGGAGATGTTTTGTGATTCAATGTTGATGATACCAGTGTGACTTTTGTAATGGCAACTTGATAAGGTACCAAAACCAGAGACAAATACATCTCTGAAATGCATAGTTTGGCAGGTAATTGTCAGGTTCAAAACCTTCAAATTTACGTGTAAATTTTAATCTACCTATGTAAAGAGTAAGGTGTGCATCATGGAAACATGGTGTCAGCTGCCCATTCTGCTCAAATTGAATGATCTGTAAAAGGAACGTACAGAGGGTGGTATAATTTTTAACCATAAGCTCCAAATAGAAATCTTCAACAAGTTCTCTCAACTCTTAAACGAGTATTACATACTGGACTACAAATGCTTTGAGTGATCTGGTTTCCTCTGCCTCTTAAAAACAGAATAAGCCACTTGTGAAAGGCAGCAAATACCAGACCTTGCCGGGGAAGCTGCCTCGACCCGCGCACAATGGAGAGCAGGGTGGGTCCGGCGCGCCGCACTCGCCAGAGCTCTGCGACGGGAACGACAGCGAGGACAGCAGCGCCCTGAGCCTGCGTACGTATCCGCGCTGCCCAGAGGCAGGGGAGCCTTGCGGGTGGAGGGGAAAAGCGCAGGTGACAACAGGGTATGTAACGTCATGCTAGGAAGTTCTGCTCCACAAGTCGCAAATACCCCATTATGATTTTGCAGTGGTCCTCATTTAATTCTTATTTTAGGCTCTGTGACTTATGAGAGTTGCTAGGTACTGTAGGTTCAAGAATTCAATAGGCTATGTGTTATGTAGGTATTTTTAAAAGTTCTTTTCTGATCACATCATTGGTGTTTCATTAATGGCCACACATCGAGATTAGCCAAGGATGGTCAGTCTTCTAAAGGCAAAATGTTATTTTTCTATAAACAAGCAGTAAATCCATAAATACACTAAATATACAGATTTTTTTTCATGTGGGAAGTTGGTCTGTGTGTCCAATACACTCATACTTTCATTCAATGAAATTTGATGTTGTACTAGACACTGATTCACTTGAGACTTTCTGTGGGTTTTATGGAACTATATGCTTAGTATATGCTGGAGTACATGCTTAGTATGTTAATGTCTAAGAACAGTGAAAAATATGAGAGATGATTATTTCTGGACTTCTTTTCTGAATTCTTGGGTTTCATGCACACCTGCGCATTCACTTCCATGTAAAGCATAACTGCTGCTTTTCTTTTTGTTTCTGCTTGTAATGCCTAGCTCACTTCTTTGCTCTTCTGTAACTTTATTTTGCTGGTGTTTTATGTCTTCTTTGCTTCATCTGGCTTACTGCCTCTTGGGATGACTGAAGATCGCATCAGGAGTGTCAGTGCACCAGTGCTAGGTATCGTATCCAAACACGGTGCTTATTCAACATAGATTTTGCTACTTATTTTTTCATTTCCTTTTTCTTCCTATCTCTTATAAAATACTAATTCTAAGTGGGCTACCAAGGTTGAATTCCTTAAGTGCAGTACTCAAAAGAAATACCTGCTTTTGTCTGCATCATTAGGATAAGATTGTTTTAGATACTTACTCCTGGTCTCATTCTGCTTTCACTGAACAGTGAAATTCCAGTGTTTTTGACAGAGTACTTTCAGTATTAAGAATAAGCAAGGCAAGAGCTAGTCCAGAGAGTTGCACAAAAGCTCATTTATTTTTTTTTCAGTCGCTTTCAGTTGTTTGCTTTCACTTGGTAAAAACAGGGTTATTTGAAACCTCCAATGAAAATAAATTCTCACTATTAATCAATATCAAGTACTGTATTTCATTTATCTGCAATTTAAAGATTTTAAAGTGAATGTTTTTATGCAAATCTGCTGCTCCAATGTCTTTATTTTATATTAAAAATTTGCTTCCCACATAACCTAATCATTTTGTATTTTGTTAATTATATAAAAAGTGACTATATTACTGTCCTTAACACAGGAGAAACAGAAACCGTGGATGGCACAGTAGTCCCGGACGACCTTTCACCTCTGTCTTCGGGCACAGATTCAGGTCCCCAGTCTCCATTGTCTCCAGAAAACAGGAAGAGTCCAAAAGGGATCAAGAAGATCTGGGGAAAGTAAGATTTGGGATTTGTTTGTTTGTTGTTGTTGTTGTTTTTGTAGTTCCCCATCAAAGCATTAAAATGCTTTGAATAAATGAATCCAGTTGTCTACAATGTCTGAAGCAAGAATAAAGCAAATTTCAGGAGAAGCAGAGAAAAGAACAGTAGTACTAACAGTTGTGCTGCAGGAAAGAAAAAAAATCCTCTGATTTCTTAATATAATGCCACCAGTTTCCTTAGTTATGAAAAAAAAATGTAGTAAGTTGTTCATTATAGAAGTCATCATTTTAAAAATTGAGAGAAAAACAAGAAACCAAGGGGGTGAACTGAGTTTTTACTGTGTTCAGTTTATCTCCTTGAGGTCAGTGTCACTTGTGAGCCTAATCTCCACTGCGGATTCTTTGGATGGAAGGATCACATGAGACAGGATTTTCCTGCAGCTTGCTAGGCTACCACTTGAGTTAGCTGCATGGCACTTAGGGGAAGATCAATAAAGGTTTTAGTTGTCATTATAGTTTCCCTATGAAACAAAAAATGCTCCCAGTTGAAGGCTAATATTAATGTTTTGGCACTTCTGTCCTTAAAGAATAAGAAGAACTCAGTCGGGTAACTTTCCTGCAGACGATCTGGGCTTGGCAGAGTTTCGAAGAGGTGGTCTCCGCGCTACAGCTGGCCCTCGCTTATCCAGATCCAAGGAAACAAAAGGACAAAAAAGGTAAAGATTTGTTCTTTTCCTTGCACTAAGTAGTATATGATGCTGTTAAATATGTTGAACAGCAAGACCTTCCTGTTAACATAACTCATAACACACAGAATTTCATTATAGCTAGAAAGTCACTCTGTTAACAACAGGTATAGCAAGAAAGCTTAATCTCTTCTGTGAGAATATCTGTTCATGAGAAGAAAATCAGAGCAGTCCTATTAACAGGGCACTTCTAGCATAGCATTTACCACAAGAATGGTAGTTGACCATTGCTACTGCACAGACCAAAGCATGCCACAAAGTACCCTGTAGTTCTGTCTCTGGATATGATTATGTTTCCGGTAACTACCCCTTTTTTTTTTTTTTTTTTTTTCCCCTTTTGAGTTTCAAACACTTGTGCTTTTCAGTGACTGCAATGCCCCATTTGCTCAGTGGAGCACTGAAAGAGTCTGTAATTGGCTGGAGGACTTTGGTCTCGGTCAGTATGTCATTTTTGCACGGCAGTGGGTGAGTTCAGGCCATACGCTGTTAACTGCAACACCTCAGGACATGGAAAAGGTAATAATTAGTAATCATTTCTCTCAAGCAACCGTAGATGTTCATTCTGTACAGCCAAAGCTCTTCAAACATGTAGCTAAGTTCTGCCTTTTTGAAATACGTAGCATAACTTTTTGTAGATGTCTGATGAGGTGAAATGAGCTAGAGACAAGGCTAACTGTTTGCTACCGTTGTTATAGGAAATGGGAATAAAGCATCCACTGCACAGGAAGAAATTAGTTTTGGCAGTTAAATCAATAAATGCAAAACAAGATGAGAAGTCTGCACAACTAGATCATATCTGGGTGACACGTAAGTGTTTGAAGAATTGTGCAATTGCTTGGGAAGGGTTTGTCTATTCAGCTGCGGCGCAGGAATTAAATCCTTGCCCATGGATCAGAGCTGGTTTACACCCCATTCTTCTCTCTGCAGGATGGCTTGATGATATTGGTTTGCCTCAGTACAAAGATCAGTTCCATGAGTCCAGAGTTGATGGGAGAATGTTACAGTACCTAACAGTGGTAAGTGAAAAATATTTTTGCCCCTGTGTAACCAGACTCTGCACTGCAGAATGGGGAAAATTTTACTTGGAATGTGAACAGCTAAGGGATTTTTTCGCAAGCTAAAAATGGTGGCATACTAATATAACTATATTTTAATTCCCATTTTTAATGCATCAGTACTATTCCAAAAAAAAAGCAAAATAACTAATAAGGAGATGCTATAGCTGACTGCTGGGGCAGGGGCAGTGGGAACCCCTTTCACCATCGTACAATGCACTGAGTTCAGATAAAATTACCTACTTTACATGCATCTTCTGGAGTGTTTTGTTTTCCACAGTTAACAAGAAGATACAATAAGCTAAAGATGAGCAATAACTGCAGTAACCCGTAAAGCTGTGACCAAACTGGCAGCAAACCACACACATAGCTGCTGTGTTTTATTATGCGGTTGCCCTGTCTGGTTTGGATAATTAAATATTCAATTCTGTTCCTCTGCTATGAAAGCAGTGAATTGTTTAGTTTGATTCAGAAGCACAGCCTCATCTATTCTGTTTGGGGACTCTTTGCTCTAGAAGCACACTCCACACTTCGGTTTCAGGTTTGCACTGGCAGCTGCAGCGGTCTTACCTGCAGTATCTCGGCCAGACAGAAACAGTCCCTACTTTCTAACCATCTATGACACCACCCTCTCCCCCACTTTCTTGGTTTTTTTTGCAGAATAAGCTCTAACACTGCTTCAGGTTTCATCCAAAACATACTGTGGTGTGACTAAAAACAAACAAAAAAAATCTTGAAATTATAAACTGTGATTTCAGCTCAAGCGGTAGTTAGTGTGGTTTACGTAAAGCTGCACAGCAAGTTAAAAATCTTATTTCTTGGGGAAGGTACCTGCTTTAGTCTGTATTTGTGACTCTTACAGAATGACCTTCTCTTTCTGAAAGTCACCAGTCAGCTTCATCATCTGAGTATTAAATGTGCCATTCATGTGCTGCATGTGAACGGTTTCAACCCCCACTGTTTACGCAGGAGACCAGTTGATGAGGTAAGAGAATATTTAAGTAATTTAATCTAAACAAGCACCAATTATCCCATTCTAGCCAAGAGGACAGAAAATAACAATGAATATCAATACCCTAGTCACTGGATTATTATAATATAAATAGCCTCTAAAGCAATAGTTTGCTTTCCATCTCTGGCATGCAACACACTGATACCAAATCAACTCAGGTTGTAAGTGCTTGAGCCTCTTTTGGCTTGAACCTTATATGTTTCCCTTTAGAAATTATTTGTTCAATTTTATTCAACTTTTCAGAGAATATTTTGGAATGCTTTTTCTTCAGCTCTCTTGATTAAATTGTCAAAGATAAAAAGGTATTTGTCTTGGTCAGCATAGCTTATTTTTGGTCTTTATATTAAATGACTTGATAATATTGCTTTTCTTCAAAAATGCTTTTTTTTTTTCCTCTCTCATCTGCATCTGTATAACATCTAATTTCTACTGCTTGATGCAGAATAAAGGGTTTACTTTAAATATACCTACCATCTTAACAGAGGCTTTGAAGAAAAATTAGTATTACAGAAAGTGGGGAAATGGTGCTAACTAGGAAAGAGAACAGACAATGTATATATTTCTGAATAGTGTGAATGTGCACTGACAGAGCATATACTGTCATCATGCTTCCTGGTTATTTTTACAGAATAACGTTTCACCTTCAGAAGTAGTTCAGTGGTCGAATCACAGAGTGATGGAATGGCTCAGATCAGTTGATCTGGCAGAATATGCACCAAATCTTCGAGGAAGCGGAGTGCATGGTGGCCTCATTGTGAGAACTCTTAACATTTTACTGCATGCAAACTTAAAACTGACAGACTGTACTACAAAAAAATCTTTATTGTGTTTGCTTGTGTTTGCCAAGCATGAAAAAACAAATACAGACATTTTGCATGATCAGACCTTAAGACCCCCTGGATCTGATCTATGCCTATGAGAAAAGATCTGTTAAAACAGAATTATATAATTAAAGTTGAGAAGTTGTTCTATAGGGAATTTGCTTACTGATAAAGGATCCCCAAGGGTTTCTTGAAATAGCTTTAACAGAATTCTGAGCCAAAAGCCTGCCGCAGTAAATAACTGTCCTGAAGTCAGGCCAGCAATCAGGAATGAGAATTTCTTTGGCCTCAATACTAAGCTCCATGTAGCTATACTAAATTTCTGAAATACTGCGATTCCAGTGACGTGGATTTTTTTCAAAAATTAAATAGAAAAAACAGGTGTTCTGAAATAATAGAATAGAGCAATAGAGTAGTAAAATCATAGCAGAAAAATCTGAAAACAACTTTGTTCAGACAGTTGGAAAGCCAGTCTCTATTTTCATGCATTTTCCATTCATGGTCTTGCTAGTGAGTTATAAGAGATAATCTCTCTCATAAGCACTGTTAATGGTTTACCATTGTGACTATTTAAGCATTTAAAAATTAAATCTTCTGACCTTCTTTTAATAGATTCTTGAACCTCGCTTCAATGGAGACACCCTGGCCATGCTGTTGAACATTCCACCTCAAAAGACCCTACTACGACGTCACCTAACCACCAATTTTAATGTATTAATTGGACCAGAGGCGCAACAAGAGAAGAGAGAAATAACAGAGTCACCGGCATACACACCTCTAACCACCACTGCCAAAGTTCGGGTAGAGTATGCTTTCTAAAATGGATATATTACACACACACACACATTTAACTCTTCCCTCTTTTTATAATATGGAAAGGGAAAGGTCAATTCTGAGAGAAATTTTAAATTTTGTTTTGCTCTGGATATCAAAATGTTCACTTATCTGTTAAAATTCCTAAATTGAAAACAATTAAATGTTTAGTTCAGAATCTACATACTTTAACTAAGATAGAGTGGTAAATTAAAAAGGAGATGAAACTGAATGTTTAAAGGACAGCCACTTTTTTCTGTCACTTAAACTTGTTGTTTTTCATTTTTAGCCAAAGAAACTTGGATTTTCACATTTTGGAAACTTAAGAAAAAAGAAATTTGATGAATCAACAGACTACATTTGTCCTATGGATACAAATCCAGGTGCTACCAATGGTACTCACAAGAACTATGGTGGATACAAAGGACTTACTCCATTCCCTGACAGGGAATTGGACAAGCTGGACCAGGTGGGACAAACAGACTGATGCCATTCTCATCTCATCCTCTCCATGCATTCACAAGCTTGCCAGTAACCTCGCGTTAGCACATGGTCCATCTGCATGAACTCACTGAGAAACTGTTGGCTTATGGACACTTGAAACAGTTCTATACTAGGAAGGTCAGAGTAATTTTTTTAATCATCATAAGCGAAAACTCATCCATCTTCAAGCCCTTTTTCAGGAATATAACACCTTTACTACGAAGATCAGTGTATTTTGATAGCTAAGGTGGAGGCTGTGGTAAACAAGACTTGTGCTCCCTGTTTTCCTAATCTGAGAATGGCAGGCAACTTTTTTCTTTATGGGTGTTTTTAATGTAATAAATTCTCAGGCTAATTTGTATAGAGGTATCAAGTTATATATTGAAATACAACTGGAGTGTATATTTTCAATAGACATATTGATGCGCCCAACTGAATTCTTTCATTGAGTACAGTAGGAAATAATTATGCTTACACAGTATATATTAAAATGCATCATTAATGAAAAATTAATAAAACAATACCTGAATAATTCAATTTTGTTATCCACTAGTGAAACTCTGTCTAGACATCTTGCAGATAAATGGTGAAGACTAAAACCCATCAACCTTCATTCAAGTTTTCTGCCAATTTTTGTGTAAAGGGTTGTAAACCCTGAAAAATGGAGCCCCTAGAGGCTTGTGTGAACGTTGTCCTATCTCCATAAACCGGAAGCAGTGACATAAAGCGGAATATGACATTTTAAATCTAATGAGAGAAGGGTCACAAAATTTAAAAGACTAACCACGAAGGTCATTTTTTCATTTGCATGGTATATTGCATCTAACATGGCATTTGTATTCATTATCTAACCACTGCCTGTTTCAATGTACATCACAATAGTGAAATAAACTGCTGCTTCTAGAGAGAGTACCAAACCCCGAGGGGATTGAACAGCCATACTATCCACCAGGATGGATGTCCAGTTACACAGCCTAGTGGTGTACATGCATGCATTAGCCTACGACTTACCGCGTGCAGGTCTGCAAGTTTAAGAAAAATACTGGATTTTTCATTATGTCGGTAGCCTTTGGATATAGCATGACTTATAAGCATGTGATAATGCAGTGAAACCACGATGCCCCTACAACTGATGATCTTTAATGTAAGAACTGGTAGGACTTTGTTACAAAAGACTTGTATCCTCTCTCTGAGAGGAATATCAAAAGTATCTAAGTGTTTCAAGCTCTGGATAATGATACTTTTCATTGATAATATCAGCTAAGCTATTTATTTTCTGCTGTGCATTAGATCTCCAATTTCACAGACTCTCTCTTTCTTACTCAGGACTCTATACCCATCATAAATGCATTTTCACCTACTTTATAACATGGAGGCATTTTTGTTAGTATATAACTTTGAAATGTACAAAAATGGGCATTTTAAAAAGTAATTTCATGTGAATAGTCAAGAGATACCTCCTAAACATGCATGTAGCGGGAATAAAATTGCACATAACATCTAATTTGATCTAGTTACTGAATACTTTTACAGATGGAACATTCAGAAGGAACAGTAATGCAAATAGGGGCTCTTTCTCAAGGCATAAACAATCTTACGGTACGTACCAATTTGCTCTTGTTTCAAAGTCACAAACATGTTCTGCTAGAATCTTTCAGTAAGAATTGTTAATGGTGGTGCTTAAGAAAGAGTAAATAGGTCAGCATTCTTGTTACATCCCTTGTTATAACTTGGTTACACTGTCGCAGTCCAAAAAAACCTTTTTCACTTCTAATTTCCAGAAAGGTAAGAAATTTAGGCTCATTTTAATTGTTCATGAATGCTACTTGTCTCTCAGACTCAGTGACAGATCTTCATCCACTTAAACATTTGTAGCCAAATGCAAACAATGCTATTACTAATGTGTAATTTTTCAAGCATTTTTAGACTAGATGATACTTTGTATGAGCTAAAATACCATGAAAGAAATTGATTTCTGAATCAAAACAGCTGTTATTTAAAGTTAATTCACCAAAAGACATAATGAACAATTACATAACATAGCTGAGTCACATGTAACACAAAAATCTCTGTGAGAATTTCCTCAAGCTAATAATAGTTTCACTATTTTAGGCTGCATTCAAGAGATTTCCTTTAATTTTATGTGGCTCTAACCCCCTCTGTTGTGAATTATATCTCATTACAATCAAATTTCTTTAAAAAAAACTATAGTTATTTTAGCTGAATGTTATTATTTGTTCCGATATTTTTGTGTTTTCTCAGAATATGTTAAGTCAAGATGAAATGCTGAATGACAACCGATTTTTAACGCCTACCTTTGAAGACTGGAGATGATGCTTCACCATGACCAACAACACTAATACCTCATGCCTGTCCACAGAGGTGGCCTGGAAAAGCTTGATGCTGTGGTACAGAAAAGCTTTAGCTCTTTTCTGCCCATGAGACTTAACATATAGCATCTAATATTGCTAATGTAGCAACACTTCGCAGGTACTTTTCCTCCACACATTTTTCCATATTATGTAATCTGAAATGGGTGTTAGGAAAATGAAGTGGTGCAAAATTCTTTCCTATCCAGAGTCTGGAAAGCCAGGTAAAATACGATACCCTTTTATTCCATCTTCTTTTACATGGTATGTTTATGTACAGTTATATGAAAGGTCTTCTATAATTTTGTATTTTTATAATTAACTTTCAATGCAGGAATCATTAGTGTTGTATCATGCAGGCTATCAGGGCCACTCAAATTCAGAGAGGTGCTAGAGAGTGCAGCTGTAATGGCTGCCGCAGTCTAGCCAAAGACTCTTTCCTATAAAAGAATTTTAATTCTTTTTTATTAGCATCTCTTTTTTTATTAGCACACGTCCTGCCCTCTTTTTCTTTCTGAGTATAGTTTACAGAATATTCATCAAGCCCTTGATTTTATCAAAAAGAGGATGACTGTCATGTTCACAGATTGTTATCCAACTCGAAAGCTAAAAGGTACTGAACAAATGCAACAGATAGTGTCATGTTAACTTTAGAACCAGTTGGAAAACTGATGGACTGCAAAACTAGTTCTTCTTGGAAAGTACACTTTTTAATTGTGATTTTTTTCTTCCAATGAATACTAACATATCTCCGAAGAATGAGCAACTACTCATATAGTAAGCTACCCTAAAATGTACATTTATAATATCAGAATGGTGTTCACCACTCTCCTGTGTAGTAAGCACAACAGAATTTGCAGCAGCATTGCTTATGTAACTAATAATAATTCTTTCTTTAACCAGAATAACTGAATAGGTTATTTCTGAATTTAAACATTTTGTCTAAAATGGTTTCTACTAAGGTACACGTACCAATATCAGGAGGCTCCTATGAGCCTTCCGAACAGTCAAAGCAGTGTTTTGTTTGTTTAGTTGTTTTTTTGTTGTTTTGGTTTTTTGTTTGTTTGTTTTTTAAAGTAGTCTGAGTCTAATATCTGGCTGGTATGAAACTGCACAGGTTCTTGGGAAGACTGCGATGATAATTAGCCTACTGTTTTTCCATAGTTATTACAAATTAGACATGACCACGAACCACCCTTGGGACTGGAGATAGCAGTTGAAATGCTCCACAACTTCTGTATTATTATAAATAAGACTGCTGGTATACTTCCAGTTCTCTTTTTAACTTTAGGTAGAGGTAGCTTTTCAGAGAGTACTGTGTTATTTAGCAATACGACAAAATATGCTATTATGCTGTGATGTGTAAAATGTGACTAGGTCAGGCTATGACCTTAATGAAACAAAAAATTATATTCTTAAAACACCGGCAAAATAGATCTGCTTTTCTACTGAGCTGGGCAGCACTGCAGTTCTGCAATAGAAGGAAGCAAAGCCAGCGACTACTTACGTAGAGGAGCTTTCAAGGGTGCATGTGATTCCTTTCTGGTGTCAGTCACTCATGACACCGCTTTATAGGTGCGTGTCGAGTGTATCTTAGTAAGTAGGAAAAAATCCAGAAAATAAATGTGCCTGACTGTACAGTAAAGAATAAGCACATGTATAGCTGCTTTGCGTTGAACTCTCCTTTCTGGCTGTAGGATATGAATATACACATTAAAATGGCCAGAGGGCACGTGGACTCCTAACCACAACCCTTTCCAGTAGGTGGGAAATCTCAGGTAGTGTTCAGGGTATGCAGCAGGGGCTATCAGGGGCACATTTTAAAGATAATTACCACACACTCTATCAATCTTTCATGACAGATCTTGCACTATAAGATCAGATTTTAAGAGTTAAAAACATTATTTTTTGTGTGATTTTTATTGTCCAAAGAGTTAGAATTAAGTCTGCTTTTTCACTGGAAGACGGAACAATAATTGAAAATCCATAAGAATCAGTCTATACATCAGCAGACTAAAAACATGTACTAAAAGGTCCTAAACGCACATGTCAATTACATCTCTAATCCATCAGTGCAATCACCACTAGATACCAGCTTGCACAGCTTGGGCATTTGAAATAATCTGTCAGGTTAATTTAGCAGCAGACTGATTTGAAGTACGATAAACGGAACGAGCTGCCTTTCTACCACGGGGATATTCCAAGCAGATTTGCAATTTCATTTGATGTATTTATAACTCACTGTGTCATTGTGATAACTTGGCTGTGAATATTCAATCTACACAATTTTTGAGTTGTTCCTTGTTATATAGTAAGAAATCTTAGTTAGCATAACACAAGAATAAAAAAAGTTTAATTTTTTAACTGTTAAAAATAAATTCTGGATGTTCCTCCATCTCTTGGCTGACTGTGTAATGATTCTAATGCAGAATGACTGCTTTCTTATGGGGGACAGAATCAGTCTGAACCTAAGCAGAAGCTGAATGCCACTGTTTGTCTTCACATTTTTGCTACAAAAGTACTTGATGTAGTACCAAACTATACCCCAAATTTTAACTGGTAAATTTTGCTGGTTTTGCTTCAGATGAATCAACATGATCTAACTAAATGCGTGCTTTAGCATCTGAACAAACAAGCTTCCTCTCACAGGAGCCTTTTTTTCAGACCCTATGGCAAATGTAGGGTAAAATAATCCCCATGTATGAATGTGTTGTACTGCAGGTAGTGAACATGCACAATCAAATGCTATGTGGTAAAAACACTGAAATGAGGTGTTAGCAGTTTGACTTGCCCTAACTGGCAATAAGCAGGAAGCAGCCCTGCTTTCTCCTAAGCAAAGGAAATCTCTGAAACTGCCAAAAGAAGCAAAAACTAGCCTTGTAAAGGAAAACATTCAAATGATGCAACATCCCTGGATATTTAAGCAGAAGGGATTGTTTAACTATCTAGGCTGCTTTTACAGGCATAAATAAGACTGTCAAAAGATAGCATGAAATTATAGAGGCTGCCTAAATAAATTCCACACTAAAGAAAATCTCCATTACCCTAACAATGCAATTCACAGCTGCCACAAATCTTGTTCAGGCACTTTTCAGTAATACACTGCAGCATCTTTCTTAGTCCCTGGCAAATAGCATTTAAAGAAAAAAAATTATTTTTTTCTTACTTTCACAGGGATGCAGTAAAGAATTAACTGTAGCATGTCCTGTAGCCCAAATGTACTTTTACAACTCTTGTTCAAATTTCGTATCCAATTAACAAACCAATGGTTTTATCTTTTCCTACCTCTCAAATTCAACCTAGGAATTATCACAGAATGAGGGATGTAACATTTCATACTACCTTACAAAGTCAGTCTAAATTACTTGCACATAATTCAACATGATTTATGATTAATTAGTACTAAAACACTCAAAAGTTAATTATGTGGCTAAAATACAGAAACATAACTGAGGGAAAACACAGTTACATACCAGCTCTCCACATTGAAAATATGCAGTACTTACTTATGGAAAGGTAGCACATGACATCAGCGTTAATAAGCAAAGGTGCTGCTCTTGGGATAGCCTAGTTTGTCCAGGTTGGGCTGACATGCAAACTGAATCATGGGTGGTGGCCCACACATCAGGATGAGCGTCTCATTCCCAGGGGGAGGCAGGTGAGTTCTAATCATGTCTGCAGTGATGAAGCCTGAACTGTACTTCCACTCTGAAGCAAAGAAATTAAACTATGAATTAAACTATGTACAGTCTGAAGCTTATTCTTAAATGTGTGTATTGCATTCAAGAAGCAGGTGAAACATCAGTACAACTCTGCCACATTACTGCAAGCAGAAGGTTAAATCTCTCGCTGAGCTTCTCCCTCCATTTCCAGTTCAGTCAACAACAGACAATAGTGCTTTAACCCATATGCATGACAACTGTGTCTCATCAGAATCTAATCCAGCCCATGGAAAAGCACAAAGCTGTACATGTGATATTTTTCAAGTGTTAAGAAATTTAGTTAGACAAAATGTTGGCATAACTTGATTCAGCTCTGGGAAGGGAAAATTTGGGCTTTGGAAAGTCCAAAGCAGGACTGCAATCATATGCATCCAAAGATCCAGAGAGTATCATAGGTCTCATCCTCCCTGGAGAAGTTAATCATTAGGACTTCCTCTTTTAAGCTTTTGGTAGCGGTAAGGAGGAGCTTGTTGTTTTTAAAGATGGCATAAGACTAGGATATGTTGCAGTAACAGCCACTTGAACAGGAGTGAAACTGGTTTTCCCATAGTGAGGTGCAAAGGTGTTCCCAATGTGTAGCAGTAGCCTACCTTGTGGGGGTCTGTCCAGGGTATACCATAGTGTGAGCTGATCAGGATGCATCTTAGCGATGTCCTCTAGTTCATCTCTCAGTAATATGTCTTTTTCTGTCTGAAAAAAAAAGAGACAGTTATTTAGCTTCAAACTCTCTTGTGATGATGTCCTGTAATATAAGCTCACCTAGTAGTCAGCAAGAACAAATTCAATGATAGATCATCCAAAGTGATTTTTTTTTTCCCCATTACACAATATGCTATAAATTTTGCTTGAAAATTCAGATTACAAGCTTTCTTCCCTATGAGAGAATGAGTGGATGGATAAGGATTTGTTCACATTATCTTTTCCAATAAGGCATTTAGGGGGAATACATGAAACCATGAGAAGCAATACTCAAAATAAATGAAAGAAAATGGTGGAAAACTACACCATATTTTTAAAGGGCCTCACAGGTAATGTTACAATTCAGTTTCTCCTTCTCAAATCATTTTAACCCAAGACACTATAGTAAGCACTTATATGATAACCATTTCTTACCTTTCCCGCAATAACGATCATTTTAAATATATCATCTAAAATTTTGTCATAAATTAGTGAATATAGAGCTAGAGATTCTTGAAGAATGCACTGCACACAGAGCAGTATTTTTTTTTTCTGGAGTTCAATGTGGTATCAGTTTCCAAAGTAAAACAGGCAGCAAAAAAGGGGTCCATTAAAGAAGGACAAACAAAAGATTCAGCACAGTCACCTGATTAGCAAAAAGAAGGCAACATTTTGTGGAGTCCTTAGGATCCTTTGTGATCTGCCGGATCAGCTGCAACATAGGTGTTATTCCTGTTCAGAATAAAGCAATTCAAAAACAACCATTAGCTTTGGCTCACACAAGGCTACAGTTTCAAATCTTACTGCTTCCTTTCTTCAGTGGGTGCATACTCTTTACAGGCTTACATACGTCTGAATGCCTAAGCCATGCCAGATGTAGAGGTTTTTTTGGGGGGGGGGGTGTTTTTTTGGATAATTTAAAAAAAAAAAACAGAAATTTGGGGCTTCCCTCTTCAGCATTCTTTATCAAACACAGTAACAGCAAAACACACTCCTAATTTTTTTTTTTTCTTTGCTAAAGCTTAGAGAGGTGAAGTGACTCATCTAAGGGCACAGAGTAAATCAAGACTGAAAACTCTGTGCTACCTCCCTGCACTGAGCTCAGGCCACCGAAGTGCCCCAATATCACCAAACACTTCTGAAAAGAAATAAAAGCTCTATCCCCAATAGCTCAGGATTAAAGAGGGAGGAAATCCACTGGGCAATCAACTAACTCTTAAGCAACCTGACTTTGATTGAAGCATCAAATTCACGCAGCAGTGCAGGCAGTGATAGGGAACAGCTTAGTAACCAGGAAGGTGCTTGATGCTCCTCACAAATATCTATGAAGATCTTTTAATTCTCTAGTTCACTCTCCATATGATGAGCATAGTTTTTTACCTGTTCCTCCAGCTATCATCCCAAGATGCTTTACAACCTTCTTCTGGGCTTCAGACTTCTTATCAGGCTTGATAAAAAACGTACCTGGAAGAAATATTCAAAACCTATAAGTAAATTAACATCTAAAGAAAAAAATGAAAAATAATTGAAAGCGTCCATGGGAATTAAACACTATAGCCTACCAATCAACTCACTAGGACAGAACTTCTGGGAGTGCTGAAAGCGCTCAGCATAGTGTTAAGTGCAAAGGGTAGAATCCACTTTATGTT